CCGGGGCTGTCTTTCTTGCCACGCCCACTTGGTGGCCACACCCACTCAGCCACGCCCCTGGCACCCGGCAATGTATAAGTGGCTGGGGGTCACCACAACATGGGAAACTGTATTATGGGGTCGCGGCATTAAAAAGGTTGAGAACCACTGCTGTAAGGGTTGCAAGTGTGAAAAACCATCATAAGTCAATTTTTTCAATGCCATTGTGTAACTATGAATGACCACTAAATCAATGGGTATAAGTTGAGGATATTACCTGTAGCAAAAGAAAACCTTTAAAACTTGGCTTGTGTCACTGGCTTCTAGGACGTTTTTCTTCTTCTACAGGCCAACTTGAGCTACATAAAATATTTTGTCCAGTGTTTTACCTTCAAAAACCCTTAATGCTGGAGAGGTAGTAGTTCACCTCTTTTGAAGTAAAAAAAAAAAAAAACCTTTTGATAGGCTGCCATTTGCTTCATCTATACATTATAAGATTTCTAGGATCATGAAAAATTACTTTTAAATATTTAAAGGGATGTACCTGTTCTGGTCAATTACTTATATTTGTTAATTTGGCTTTTTGCAAAAACCACACAATAAGTTTTCTGGCAATGTATTTCCAGCCTGTTTTGAATATGGTAATGTGTAATACAGATAGTCCTTGACTAATGATCCCAATTGAGCCCAAGCAAGGCAGTTGTTAAGCGAGCCATGCCCCCATTTTATGATTGTTTGCCATGGTTTTTAAGCACATTACTACAGTTGTTAAGTGAATCATGTGGTCATTAAGCAAATCTGGCTTTCCCCATTGTCTTTGCTTGTCAGAAGCTCCCTAGGAAAGTTGCAGATAACAATCCTAGGATGCTGCAACGATCATAAAGTCACGCCAATTGCAAGCACCCAAAGTCTGATTAAATCACTGTGGGGATGCTGCTATGGACATAAGTGTGAGGACTGGTCATAAGTTACTTTTTTCAGTGCTGTTGTAACTTTGAATGGTTACTAAACAAATGATTGTAAGTCAAGGATTATCTGTAGTTTCGTTGCACCTTTAAGGCCAAGAAGTATACAAGAAATAAATGCAGCATGGTCTGCATAAAACAATATGGGGACTTTGCAATCTTCAATGTTAGGCACATGAAAACCTGGGGTGACCAGGAGTTCAAGCATTGTTTCACAAAAGGGGAGTGAAGTGAGGGACAAAATGCACCCCTCTCACACACAATTCTTATTAACAGTATCCCCACCAGGTCACTGTCCTGTTTAGCTCCTGAAGGATGTTCTTTCACTCTCTGGATAATTGAATTTCATTTTCACTACTGAACTCTTATTAGCAAAAAAAAATGCTTCCTAATGTTCAGTTAGATTAGAATCTACCTTCTTGTGATTTGAAACCATCAACGAATTTGCTTCGTTCTGAACCGCCCCATTTTCTCACAGAGGGAGAATCCAGTTTCCCCAAAGTCGCCCTTTGAATAAGAAGTTTATTAGTGGCAGCGGCTTGAGTTTCTTGGCTCCATCTGAGTGGAGGAAAGCAGAGGCGCAGCAGCAGGATTGTTCTCAATAAGGCTGTTATGCCTCCACTTTCCTCCACTCAGGCAGAGCGGAGAAACCCAAGCTCCTGCTGCTGCTTGAGTGAAGAGGACAAGGAGGAGGAGAATGGGGGGGGGGGATTTGTCCAGCCGGCCAGCCAGGTGAGGACTAGGTCGGACTGACTGGCTGCAGAGGGGGATCATGGCCGTTCAGGTGGTTGCCATAGGTACCAGCTTGGATGCGGGTGCAAAATACCTGGCCCCGCAATGCCTCCCCACTCATTTGAAGGCTTTGTTCCTGCTCTCAAACTAAGTCCGGCGCATGTAAGTGAGCCACTCAGCCGGGCCATGGACAGTATTGGTTTCTGCACCCGGCCAACTCCAGTTCCACGCTTTGCCCCATAGACATGCAAATGAAGCAAACATTCCCCCCCCCCAGAGAATAGAAGCTTCTGGGGACTATGATCTCTTTTGCAAAAAATGGGTGTTTGAACTCGTGCAATATTATGGTACTCAGGAGTTTCCATTGTCAGCACGAAAAGCATTTGCAAGCTTTTCTCCTCTCCCTCAAAGGGAAAGAAACCGCGGTGGAGAGGAGACAGATTTTGCAAGGTAAGTGACTCTGGCATGGCAGGAAGGGAAAGGGAAGCAGTTGTGAGGAGTGGGGAGGGGAATAGGGTGAATACTACAGAGTCTCTGCGGTCGCTTGTAAGGGCGAATGACTGCCGTGGTGCTGCAACAGTCATAATTTTGGGACTTGCTCGTAAATACTAGGAGGTGCTGATCACATAACTTTGAACGAGTGTTAAGTGAAAGCTCGTAACTTGGGGACTACCTGTATAAAAAAGATGTTGAGACACTGGAAAGAGTGCAGAGAAGAGTAGCAAGAATGATTAGAGGGCTGGAGGCTAAACTTTATGAAGAACCGTTACAGGAATTGGGTGTGTCTAGTCTAGTTGAAAAGAAGGACTAGGGAAGACATGATAGCAATAGATTCCAATATTTGAGGAGCTACTGCAAAGATGAGGGGGATAATTTTTTTTCAAAGCACCAGAAGGCAAGACAAAAAATAATAGATGGAAACTAATCCATGGGAGAAGCAACTAAGCAACTAAAGAGACATCTCCTAATGATGAGAACAATGAACCAGTGGAATGCCTTGTCTTCAGAAGTCATGGGTACCCCATTGCTGAAGGTTTTTAAGAAGAAATTGGATAACCACTTGTTTGAAATGGTATAGGGCAGAAATCCTCAACCTTTTGGGCACCAGGGACCCAAAAGAATTAACCCTGCATGATTTTGTGTGCTGCCTGCATCCCACGGATGGGGCTTTGCTTGTTTGTGCAGCCCAGTTGCTGGCATGCTGCAGCCCGATGCTGATCCATGGACCTGGGGTTGGGGAACCCTGGTATAGGGTGTCCTGCTCCAACAAGAGGCTGGATCTCTAAGATCCCTTCCAACTAATATTGCTATCACCAGCAGTCTTCAGGCTAGTTGGGGCTCTTAGGAATTGTTCTGCAACATATGATGATACAGATTATTCATGTTTAGGGCACTTCTACATACCACAACTTGATACTGACCTTGCAGGGTTAATTCCCCAGTGCAGTGGTTCTCAACCTTCCTAATGCCGCAACCCTTTAATACAGTTCCTCATGTTATGGTGACCCCAACCCCCCCATCCAGCTGGCCGGGGGGTATCAAAAACTTGACCAAAAAAAAAAAAGGAAAAATGGGAAAGTATAGGTAGTCCTCAACTTACAACAATTCACTTAGTGACTGTTTGAAGTTACAATAGCACTGAAAAAGCGAATTATGATCATTTTTCACACTTATGATTGTTGCAGCATCCCCAGGGTCATGTGATTTACATTTGGATGCTTGACAACTGATTCATACTTATGACGTTCACAGTGTCCCAGGGTCACATGATCAATGGCCAGGGGGCATGGCCAGCTGATCACTCAGGTTGCAGAGTGCCTGTGGGAGGGAATCTGGGAGTCTCTGGGATGGGACTGTGTGCTGTCACTTGCTAAGTTAACAGAAGCCCCAGGATCAGTGCCGGGCTACAGCTGATTCGCACTTCTGCTAAATTAGCAAGCGGCATGTTTTCTAGCAAAGCTCGAGCAAGTTTGCTGGGCAGGAGCCAAGGAGAGCTGCTACAGCTGACCTGCTTCTTGGCTGCTCTGCAAAAGCGCGGATCAGCTATAGAGATTTGCCCCAATCCTGGACAAGAGGGAAGGAAGGAGGGACGGAAGGCACAAGGGGAAAGAGGGAGGGAAGAAGAGACAAAGAGGGAGGTGAAGGAAAGGAAGGAAGGGAGGGAGGGAGGGAGGGACAAGGGTAGAGAGGGAGGGAAGGAGGGGCAAAGAGGGAGGTGAAGGAAAGGAAGGAAGGAAGGAAGGGACAATGGGAGAGGGAGGGAAGGAGGAAGAGACCAAGAGGGAGGGAAGGAAAGGAAGTTCCAGTCAGCAGAGGCTTGGCAGCCCAGCTGCTGAGGAACAGAAGAGCGCAAAGCCAAGGAGAAGAAGGTGGCGGTTTCCTCCCAAAGGGGGCTCCTTTTCTCCACCCCTTCCCTGGGTTTGTGGGGAATTTCTTGTCACCAACGCTGACAGGTGCTCCTTCGAGCCCGCCGTGAGCTTTCTTGCCCCCTTTGCTTTTCCCTCCCCTGCTTTTGTGAGGATTGTGGTGCCCTTGGGAAACCAATCGTGCTTTGAAGCTTAGGAGAGGAGGAGGAGTCCCTTCCTCCTTCCCTCCCCCTCTCCCTGTCAAGCCCCGGCGGGCTCGACATGAACGGGCGGAGGAGACGAGGACAGGCCGGGTAGCAAAGGAGACCGGTGGCCGTCGCCAGACCTCCCGGCTGACAAGCGCAAGTTCAGGGGTCGCAGCTGACAGGTGCAGGAGTTGGGTGCTGCGGCGGCCTCCCCTTTGCTGACCTGCATGCATGAGAAGAAGTCAATCCGGTTGCTGCATAATGAGTCTCTGGGGAGGGCGGGGCCTTACTCTGTGCCTGCGCTCTTCATGCACCCCCTGCAGGGCACATTTGGTAGAATTCGTGCAGACTGCCGCCAAGCAGCATATTTTCCACAAACAAGTGAGGTGGAGCGGAGGGGGGAGGGAGAGAAGGCGGCTGACAAGCCCTGCCTAAGACCATCAGAAATATGTGTTTTCTGATGGTCTTAGGCGACCCCTGTGAAAAGCTCGTGTGACCCCCAAAAGGGTCGCGACCCACAGGTTGAGAATCACTGCCCTAGAGCTTTTTCTTGGGAAGAAGAATCTCGGAAATTCTTGGGAGTTTAATGAAAGTCACATTTGCTGGATTACAGCTCCCAGTGTTTCCTAAGAAGAAGAAATCACTACCAAACTCCATTGTCCTACGATGCAGACAGGTATTCATTATTCAGGAGATTAACTGAACTTAGTCTTCAGGTAGTAGAATAATACTCACCGGTGAGAGTGGAGGCATCATGCTGATTCTGGAACTGGCTGGAGGTTGAGTTAGATGTAGCTGGTTCTTTACTGAGAAGAAGTGGAGGACGGCTGCTATTAGAAAGGCCCCCGCCTTCTTCAGCCTCTTCTGACCCAGCTGCATCCAGTTTGGCAGGTGTCACACGGACAATGCAGCTATTGTGCAGAAAAATATAGCACTGCAATATCTTGAATGAAACAGGACTCAAAACTATCAGAAGGCAGAATAAGAACTGAAGAATTCTACTTTAAACAACAAAGCCTCGAAACTTAAAAGAGTTGAGTTCTGGTTGGTTCTCTGCTGCTCACCCTACTTCATAAGCAAAACCGGCCCTGCCACGAGCATTTCACACAGAATGAAGTAGCTGTCTGAGATCCCAGATCTTAAATGAAAAAGTAGTGAGGAATTATTTGATATTGGCACATTTTTCATGCTGGAGATGGAGAAAAAAAAACCTTGTGGGATTGTCTTTACAAATGCCAAGGTAACTCACTGGTTTTATTCAGGCAGTCCTCAACTTACAACCACAACTGAGCCCAAAATTTCTGTTGTTAAGCGAGATAGTTGTTACATGAAGTTTGCCCCATTTTACCATCTTTCTTGTCATAGTTGTTATGTGAATCATTGCACTTGTGAAGGGAATCTGGCTTCCCCATTGACTTTGCTTGCCAGAAGGTCACAAAAGGTGATCACATGGCCCCAAGACACTGCGACTGTCATAAATGCAAGTCACTTGGCATCTGAATTTTGATCAGATGACCATGGGGATACTTGAATGGTCACAAATGTGAAAAACTGTCATAAATCACTTTTTTCAGTGCTATTGTAACTTCAAACAGTTGCTAAATGACCAGTTGTAAACTGAAGATTACTTGTACTATATTCTTTCACATGGTATGAAATCATAAAGAGATTTTAATGAAAAATCATACTACTATTTTGCTTATATCCCAAGTTAGACAAAAAAAAAAAAATATCAGAAGAGTTCTTACAAAAGCAATTAAGGTTCATGACCACAGACTTTAATAGGACAAATTGGCTGATGCCTTCTGGGACAACAAATTCATTTAATAAATAGAAATAATAACAATAAATTTTGATGGGGGCTGGACAGAATTTGCTGTTCGGTGCCAGACAAACAAAATGTCTTGGGCAGGTAGTACCTCTCAAACCCCATTTCCTAATCCACAGCTGGATCCAGATGTTCTAAACATCAAATCCCTCTCTCACCTTTTATTTGGAGCTCATTCTCTCAACTCTCATGTCACTTATATCATTTGAAACATGAAACTGAAAGTGGAGACTTCTCACTATATTATCACATGCAATAAAGATTGATTCAATGTCTAAAACATCTACCAACTTACTTGCACCAGCTGGCCACGCAGAAAGTAGATGAACTTTGTTCCCTTGGTCACCAGGTTTCAAGGGTGTGGTGTCATAATCTGAATCAAAAGACAGAAAATGTTGTCTTTGAACCACTGCAGCCTTATTCAGCCTGGTACTCTCTATGAAAATGGCCTCCCCACGTTTGACTCCATCAGTTCTGTGCAAATGTTTGGTTGCACAGCTTACCTTAAGTGGTATCGGATCCATTCAGCAGATTTTTGAGCCAGCTGAATGCAGCTACCAAAGGAGAGCTGATTGGAATTAGGGATCAATAAGTGAGAAAAAAAGTTCTAACCCATTTCTCCCTGCCACAAATGGCCATTTTTCTCCCTCTCTTAAAACTTAGCAACTGCTGTTGCAATGCTGATGCCAATGTAAAACACCCTTCTGTGCCTTTCTAACAGTTGGTTATTGAAAGAGCTGGGAATCTAGTGTAAAACCAGAATGCCTATATCCCTTCAAGTATTTATTAGTTTCAGCAACATCTGATGGAAGCAGTAATCTCCAGCTAGTGAGTAAGCTTAAGCATGGTAGGGCTGTGGGTGTTTTGGTATGTTATATGTTCTAGCTGCCTCAACTTTTCAGGAACATTTTTTCCTATCTATGGTAAACCAGTGCCCTTCTTTTGGTCTTTTGAAGAGGTATCAGGGATGCCAACTCCTATGGCCAAACAATAGAATGTCTACTAAGAAAGTGGAATCCCTCCCTTGTGTAGTTTAGACAGTTCTTTCATCTTGCTTCTAAAGCACTTAGTGAAGAGTCCCTTAATCAAGGAATTTTGCAGAAGAAGCATGGCTAGTGCAGAACCATCAATTCCTGGCTTCTCTGGTTAAATCAAGCATGGACAACCTTTGAACCCCCCCCCCCATCCCACACTTTGTTTTGTCTTGCGACCCTTTCCCAGGAATGCCAATATCATCACCACATTCCCTTCTAGCCCTTGAAGACCAAATTTTGTTTTTAAAAGAAATGTGTTCTCCAGGATGCAGAAGACACTGGCTGATCCTGGGCTAAATAATCAGTAGAAGGAAATGGAGGGAACAAAGGGCTGGGTTTTGGAGAAGCCCTGCCAGTCAAAGCAGATGACACTTGGTTAAAGGGCAAATAACCCTAACCAGCTTGCCTTTATCCAAACCAAGTCAGAATTTATGCTTGCATTTCTAATGTGCTGCTGGTAATATCTGTTCTTCAGCTCAGTGTTAAGAGGCCAATCCACCCCCAAAATCCAAGGGATTCTTCACATACAAGTAGTCCTCAACTTATGACCACAATTGAGCCCAAAATTGTTAAGCAAGATAGTTGCTAAGTGAATTTTGCCCCATTTTTCAACCTTTCCTGCCACAATTGTTAAGTGAATCACCACAGCTGTTAATATGGTTTTTAAGTGAATCTGGCTCCCCCATTGACTTGGCTTGTCAGAAGTCGCAAAAGTTGATCACCTGAACCCAAAACACTGCAATTGTCATAAATGAGTCCATTGCCAAGCATCTGGATTTTGGTCATATGATCATGGGGATGCTGCAATGGTCGTAAGTGTGAAAAAGGTGATAAGTCACTTTTTTTCAGTGCTGTTATAACTTCAAGTGAACTGTAGTCTACCTCTACTGCTAAAGCAGGAGCATCTCTTGCATATTATGGTTACCAAAAAGAGTTTTGTGAAAGTGCTTTAGGCTTCAGGCATTAAGAAAAACCTAACATGGAATTCTGATGAAGTACTACATACCTGCCATCATCTTGTCTAAGGTTCCACAGTTGAGATCTTGAAATACCTCAATGCTCTATAAAAGGAGACCATCAGCCTGATCTTTGCTGCTGTGGGACTGCTATCTTTTTCTTTCACTTATATAATTATTATTCCCTTCATTCCCAATGTTCAGCCTTACAGAGCTCTGGATCTACAGATCCACTAGCCCGCTAACGACTTCTTTTTGGACCTAAAAAGCAAAAACCTCTACCAAAATGTATAATGGGTTCCTTTCTGAACTATGGTGTACTTCCTTCCATGCAGGTATGAGTTTATATCTGAAAAAGTGCAATAAAATTTTCTATTCATATCTTGGAAAGTGCAAATGGGTAACTCCCTGGCAGATACTTTCTATTTTGGCAGAAGCACATGATAGAGAAGTGTACACATATGAGGTATGCCATTTATTTATTTATGCAGCCCTGTTGCTTTCTCTGCAATTTATATTAACCTCCATCCTATTTTCCTGCTTCCTGACTCATTATGTATAGTATGTGGTATTATCTAAGCACGAAGGAGCACTATCTCCCACTTGAGTTTCTGGTGGTTTCCACATTCAGATAGTCGACTTACGACCAAAATTGAGCCCAAAATTTCTGTTGCTAAGTGAAGACATTTGTTAAGTGAGTTTTGCCCTATTTTACAACCTTGCCACAATTGTTAAGGGAATCACTGCAGTTGATAAGTTAGAAACTCAGTTGTTAAGTGAACCTGGCTTCCTCATTGACTTTTCTTGTCAGAAGTTCGCAAAAGGGGATCCCATAATCTTGAGGCGCAGCAACAGTCATAAATATGAAACAGTTATCAAGCATCTGAATTTTGATCATGTGACTGTGAAAAACAGTCATAAGTTGCATTTTTCAGGGCCATTGTAACTTTGAATGGTCACTAAGCGAACTGTTGTAGGTTTAGGAATACCTGTATTTTTTCTTTTTGCTCATCCTTGCAGAGTCTGACTTTCTGTTATGTAAATTACAGCATTTGGATGCTATTAAACCCACAGTTCCCAAAGGAGCTTCTAGGAGACAAGCTCTTAAGGTCATTTAATAATGGCTCTTCCCCTGCAAGTAGAATTGCAATTAAGTTCCCACACACTTTAGAAGGCATTGTGCTTTTTCTATACATAAACCTGCTTTGCTCCATCACACGTTAGCAGGTTTAATAGGAAAAATGTAATTTGTCTTTACAGCCACATAAAAATCCAAATCAATTATTTTTACTTTATTTTTAATTTATCTGTACCCTCACTTTATTATTTTTATAAATAAGTTAAAGTGATGAACATACTAATACTCTTTTCTCCGCCTGTCTTTCTACAACAAACCTGTGAAGTAAGTTGTGCTGAAGGAGGGGGTATCTGGCCCAAAATCACCCAGCTGGCTTTCCTATCTAAGACAAAACTAGAACTCACCAAATTAGAGCAAAATTTCTACCAAGGATCTAATTAAATTAATTAAAAATACATTATATTTACACTAATTTACACTATAGCACTTGTTTAAAAATATATTTCCCTCCCTCCCCCCCGCCTAATGTGTAATATTCATTTTGATTCAGAAGTATAGAAGGGTATAATTAAAACAAACATAAGCCTAGTAACTTAATTACTAAAATTGTAGGGACTAGAAAAGTTACTCAGCTTTTCTATTTATGTTTCAATCAACTATTGAATATTGTTTCATCTATAAGACCATCCAAGGTATACATTTATTCAGAAGTAAATCTCATTGGTTTCATAAGGACTTGCTTTACAGGTTAAATGGATGCCTTATAGAAATGAATCAACAAGTGGTTGCAATTCCACACCAAATGCCTAGTATGGATACAACTGTAATTGAGCCCCAAAGTTGTAAAGCGAATACAGTGGTGGTAAAGTGAATGCCATGGTCATTAAGTGAACACAACAGCCATTAAGTGAGTCTATTGTACACAGTGGGCAATTTTTGCTGGAAACTGGAAGTAAATACTGGTTTCAAGCAAAAAAAAAATGTTGCAAATCGGGGTCAGGTGCAATGGGATATAGCAAAGAGCCCTAAATGCAGGGTGGGATGCTGAGCACCCAAAATATGATCACATGACTGCAGGGGAGGGAAAGCCATTGGAACCCTGAACCTGGGTCATATGTAGCACTGGGGAGGTCCCTCATAATTTCAAATGGGGTTTAAGCCCTATGTAAATCAAGGACTATCTATGTACTTTTCTGTACTTCACTAAAGTCAGTAGAACAAATTTGCAAAGAAGCATGAAGACAAATAGCATGCATCAGAGATGGGGGGGGGAGAACAGAATTAAAATAATGCATGACAGTAGGTAGAGAGGTTTTCATATTCTCCACCTCAAAATGGCCATAACTATGCTGCTATTTCCAGAAATCATGCTAGAATTTGGTAGCATAGTCATTTGGAATTTTGAAGTCTTCAAAAGGGGATTGCCTGCTTTAAACCAATGTCTTAACCCATTTTTTTTTTAAGTCTTGGCAATTTTAAGGTATGTGGACTGGTTGGGGAATTCTCAGAGTTAAAGTTTACGTATCTTAAAATTGCCAAGATTGAGAAGCACAGTTTTAACCAAACGAACAAGCCACAGGCAAGTAGAATATTTGACAAGAGAAGGTAAATCTTATGTACTACACATTCATAACATTTGAGAACTAGACCAGAGAAGTAAAAGAAAGTGAATCGCCCATGCTGGTCCTTATTTTCCAATAACACTTTTTTTTTCCCCAAGCCAGACAGGTTTCTAAGGTTGGAATCCACCTAGAATAACGTGAAATGAAATTCGAATGAGATGACTTCTGCAAGAATCATCGCCGGGACCAGAGATCAAGTCTTCTGAGCTTTCAGACTCGTGCCGGGGCCCCCATCCTCAGGGAACCCCTCTCTCTCTCTAGCAGAGTGTTTCTGCTAGACTAGAGAGAGACATTCTGGTGAGAGAGAAGTTCTCTGAGGATGGGGGCCCCAACACGAGTCCGAAAGCTCGGAAGACTCAGTCTCTGGTCCTGGTGACTCACCCAGATTGGATCTTGCAACATTATCCTGAGACACTGTCATTCATGGGATGAATTCTGGAAAGTAAGAAGATTTTGCTCTTTAAGCTCTTCTCGCTGCCTTTCCAACAATTGGGACAGATGCCCAGATAAATCCAATACTCTTGTCATTTTCACATCATGGTTATGATTCAACCAAGAGGTTGCCCTTCAGCCATATTGCAGGACATCATGTAACAATGTCAATCGAGATTCTCAATCATCCAAGTCATGATTGTCCCAAAGATACTTTTTCCAAAAGACAACTGAACGTTATTTTTTTTTTCTTTGAAAAGAACCAAAGAAACTTCTTGGATGAGAAGCAAAATATTTTCAAAGGGAAAAAAAATCAAGAACGTTCAGTTGCTTTTGGAAAAAGCATCTTTGGGGCATCATGTAACCACATCAGCAATCCTCTCACTCCTCATTGCCATCATTAACCAAATTCCACCAGTCATTAACTGGATCCACCCTAATCCAACCTATTCTGATGTTGATCCCTTCCAGCCCTGAGTTTCAGCTCTGGGGGTGCAAGAAGCCCCGGAGTTGCAGTGCAACTTGAAGCTCTTCACATCACAAAGCCCAACCCCAGCATGGCCCAGCAGCACAGCACAAAACCACAGCTCTGCCAGGGAGCCACAGCTATCACAGTCTCAGCTGCAGTCACCCTTGCCAGCCTGCACTCTGAGACCTCTACTGCCTTGTATTCCACCATACCAGTGACCTTTCCCATCTCCTTATTTCTGCTGCTGATAAGAAAGGCCTGCCCTGGCCCTTTGTGAGGAGCCTTCTGGCCATGTGATGCCTCCTTCCCTAAATCTCATGAGGAAAAAAACACATGCTTGACCTCGTGAACCAGCAGCTGCCTCATGAAGGGCCAGGTAGGGCATGCTTGGTCAGTAACAAAACCAAGAAGTTGGCAAAGGTCAGCTAGGGTAGCAGGAGCATGGACAGCAGGAGGGACTAAATGCCAAAGGAGTGGAGTGGAGTGCCAAAGGGAATAAATGGGGGGAAGGAGTCAGGCGGCTGTGAGGAGTTGAAGCAATCCTGTGGTCATAAGTGTGGGCAGGTTGCCAAGTACCTGGATTCTGATCATGGGGGTGATACAAAGCCAGAACTTCAAGGACTGGTCATAAGGCCCTTCGATCAGTGTCGCTGTATCTTCCAATGGTCACTCAATGAATGGCTGTAAGTTGAGGATTACCTGTAACCTACTGAAACATGTAAGGAAAATAGAAACAAAAGCAAAATAAAAAATAGGCATTGCACAAATACATACAAACACACACACACACACATTGCAAACATGGGAAAACTGTATATGGAATGCTTTACCAGGCACACTGTCACTCCTTAGGAGTGCTGTATTTAACATCAAACTAGAATTGTTAATAGTATTGAAAGTGAAAGAAAAATGGATAAACAAAGGAGAATCATGGAAAATATGGAATAAACAAAAACATACAAAGTTCAGAAACTCTTGACCCAACTAAACACACATTCAAACCATTAAGGAGAAGTCCCAGCTCTGCATTGCAACTGCATACCCATACTTAGAGGGGAAGGCACAGAAAACACTTAAAATACCAATTTTCTATCAGATAACATCTTAACACTTCATCTAGCTCAAGAATGCTTCATTGCAAAGAACAATGTTCACTGTTACAAAAACATTACTATAATAAAAAAATTGTATAATGAATGATGACGACTAGCAATGCTTTTCATTTCTGAATTTCCTTTAAACTATTTAAAAGACTGACACAAAACCTGTGTGTGTGTTCTCACAATTGACTTGCCCATGGGACTGCACAAGGGATAGTAAGAAAAAACTGAAATGAGTGGAAATAGGTCTTTTAATCACCCCAGGATGGTATTTGGTAGATTTATTTGCAATAAATCACAATGACAGTGATGTGGGTGCTGCAAAGTAACAAAACATACCTCTGTGCAAGCCCAGACAGAAAGCTTATATACCAGTGATGGCGAAACTTTTAGAGATAGAGTATCCAAACTGCAACCCAAAACCAACATGCATCGTCGGGTACCGAGTGGGTGTTGGCCCATAGGCTGGGTATGGCCCATTGGGTGGACATGGCTGTGGTGGTAACGGCAGACTGGGTGGGACTAAAAAGTTCAATCAATTCCAACTTTGCAAGAACTTTTTTTTCTCGTGAGAAGTTGAAATTGACTGATTGAATCTTTTTTTTTTTTTTTGCACACGGCAGCGGAGGCCTAAAGCGAAAAGGTTTTATAAAACCCAACTGAAGGCCTAGGACTGGGGCGACGGTGCGCATGCCCACAGAGAGGGCTCTGAGTGCCACGTCTGGCACCATGCCATAGGTTCGCCACCACTGTTATATACAGATGCAGGCATTCTCTACCTCAGTGGTTCTCAACCTGTGGGTCGGGACCCCATTTGGGGTCGAACGACCATTTCATGGGGGTCGCCAAACAAAGCAGTCCACCATTTTTTCCTCCTTTTCCTTAGCTGTGCTACTCCCTTTTATTCTATTGGCTTTTGAAAGCCAATAGAATAGACTCTTTTGAATAGAGTCTAATTTTATTGGCTTTCAAAAGCCAATAGGAATTGTCCAGATTGTCTCTGCCCTGCTGAGCCCGCCAAAAGTCCCATTCTGCAAACGATGCTGCACCAGTTGAGTAGTCCTCGACTTACGACTGGTTGAGTAGTCCTCGACTTACGACCGGTTGGGGGTTATGGCATTAAAAAGGTTGGGAACCACTGCTCTACCTGCATATGACATGCTCATTGTTAGGCTGGGAAACACATGACTCTCCAACCCCTGTTGTCTCTAATCTGCTCTGGATGATGGAAGAGGAAACTCAGCAACATCGGCGAGACCACAAGGCCTCTGCTTCTGCAGCCTATGAGTGCACATACTCTAAGCTTCTATTTCAGTCCTTGAAAGAATATACCAGCCATAGCTTTCCAAGGGCTAGAAGCCTCCAAGAAGAGATTGGAAAGGTAATACAAGAAGCCAGCAATCCAGATGGATCTCCAAATCTATGCTGGCTGCTGGCAATTCATATCGTAATTCTTTGCCTGGATGGTAGTTATCTGCTAGTTTGGCTGCTATCCAAAACTGGAGGAGCAGTGGGCTTTCACTCTCCACACCTTGACTGCTTCTGTAATTCCTATACAGCCATCCCAATCCGTAGTAATTATTATTTGTTTCATATATTTATCACCATGCATCTCCAACCCCATTCCCTAATCACAGGAAGAGATATATCCTGTGGCTTCTTCCCAAGGAACTAGTAGCTTCAATAAGTTAATTCTCAAAGCTCAATGATTGGTGCTGTGTAGCTTCGCAGCTTTTCTTGATCTGGCCTCATGGCATAGTAGCTGTCTGGGAAAAGGGCCAACCCTATCATAAGCCCAGACAAGGCAAGGTAGCCAATATTTAGCAGGGTTAAGGCAAGTGAAAGCAGGAAAAAAAATCCATTAAGATCTACGTCTACTCTATAGCTTAGCTGGAAAGCCTTTTTTGTACAGATCTTACTGAAGTGGAGTCTTCTTTTACGGTTATTAACTATCACAACATTGCTTGTGCAAAACTTTCTACCCTTTATATATCCCTGTTATCTAGCAGGTGGTTTTAAAAGCCAAAAAAAAAAAAAAAAAAAGACCTTGGCCAGACCATTTTTCATTGATAGTGGAAACGGAGAATAGCTTCAACCAGCGATTATTATTTTTTTGAATAGTTCAAAAGAATTATCAGCTTCATCTCCATTATCTTGCTAGTACCTCAAAAAATAGAGAAAGAAAGAAAAAGAAATGCTATCAGAGCTTATTTCAACAGCCATTTGCTTTGAACAAATTTGTTAAAATTGATTATTTCAACCACCTTCTCTCCCAGCTTAGGAGTCACAATCTTGAGTGGTCCCACCATCACAGGGACCACTTTGGCCTTTAGTTTCCATATCCTCTCTAGCTCCTCCTTCAGACCCTGCTATTTCTTTAGCAGTTGCTCATACTCCTTCCTGATTTCCCTTGACACTTTCTATCACTACCACTGCCACTGTCTTGGTCTTTGATTGACCATTAACTGTCTGTTTATTTGGGTCTGATAATCCCATAGGATCCCAGCCCTGCTATTCCCCAGGACCTAGCTCTAGCTCATACACTGTGCAGATATTCCTGTATACATTACCAGCTATTTGGTTATGCCATTCACTGCATGCTATTCACACCTTGACACTGTGTTGGACTGTCTCTGAGGCTTCACTGCAAAATCTGCACCTCGGGTCCTGTCTAATGTGGTAGACCCCTGCTTCTGTGGATCTGGTGCTTAGTGCCTGTTCTTGTGATGCTATGTTTAGCGCCTCCGTGATGTTTTAGTCCAGCTCTTCCAACCACTGGTAGGATTTCCCAATGGATAGCCACCCCTGCTATCCATTGATGATACATCCCATTCAGGGTCCTGTCCTGCCATGGCACTTCTGCTTGATTTTCCTCCTCCCATGTTTGCTGCTGTCTCTCATATCTACCCACAAGTGCTTTTGCAAAAGACAACTGACTTTATTGCTTTTTCTTTGAAAACATTTTGCTTCTCATCCAAGAAGCTTCTTCAATGCTTCAGAAATGTTTTCAAAGACAAAAAACCCCAAGAAAGTCCAATTGCTTTTTGGAAAAGCACCTTTGGAACAAGCATGATCTGGATGATTTCACAGAATCTCCATAAACACATATCCACCCACCCTCTTTCCAACTGCTATACCAGGGGTGTCAAACTGCCGGCCAATGGGCTGAAATTGTACCCACCCCATTGCCGGCAATGAAAAAAAAGTCGTGATATGTCACAACACATCACATGACATTGTGAGTTTGATACACCGGTGCTATACTGTCTCTGGGTGTTGGACTTGGGATGGAAACCTCCATTTTGAGGAGCTTCTAGGTTTTCACATCAGCACCCTCTACATCAGCACCCTCTACATAATGGTATGTATTATATATGTTACATATATATGGACCTGTAGTTAGCTGACCAACTGTACTCAGCGAGTGGTCCTCAATGGAACCCCATTTACATGGAGGGAAGTGTGTAGTGGGGTGCCCCAGAGCTCTGATCTGGGCCCAGTACTCTTCAACATCTTCATCAACGATTTGGAGGAGGGGATAGATGGGGAACTCATCACATTTGCAGACGACACCAAACTGGCAGGAATAGGCAACACTCCAGAAGACAGGCTTAAGATACAGAAGGATCTGGACAGACTTGAACACTGGGCACTATTTAACAAAATGAAATTCAGTGGTGAAAAAAGCAAGGTATCTACGTTTAGGCAAGAAAAACTAAATGCACAGGTATAGTATAGGTGGCACCATGCTCAATAGTAGTAACTGTGAGAGGGACCTCGGAGTCCTAGTGGACAATCACCTAAATATGAGCCAGCAGTGTGCTGCAGCTGCCAAAAAGGCCAACACAGTGCTAGGCTGCATTAACAGAGGGATAGAATCAAGATCATGTGAAAATACCACTTTATAATGCCTTAGTAAGGCCACACTTGGAATACTGCATCCAGTTTTGGTCATGACAGTGTAAAAAAGATCTTGAGACTCTAGAAAGAGTGCAGAGAAAAGCAACAAAGATGATTAGGGGACTGGAGTCTAAAGCATATAAGGAACGGCTGCTGGAATTGGGTATGTTTAGTTTAATGAAGAGAAGGATGAGGGGAGATATGATAGCAGTGTTCCAATATCTCAGGGGCTGCCACAAAGAAGAGGGAGTCAAGCTATTTTCCAAAGCGTCTGAAAGCAGGTTAAGAAGCAACGGGTGGAAACTAATCAAGGAGAGAAGCAACCTAGAACTAAGGAGAAACTTCCTGACAGTGAACAATTAACCAGTGAAACAACCTGCCTCCAGAAGCGGTGAATGCTCCAACACTGGAAGTTTTTAAGAAGAGACTGTACAGCTATTTGTCCGAAATGGTATAGGGTTTCCTGCCTGAGCAGGGGATTGGACTAGATGACCTCCAAGGTCCCTTCCAAGTTTACCATTATTATTATTTTGGATCATTGCACAGTCAGCCAGATGTTCAGACTGGATTTGGCATTTTGTCTACCTATCGAGTCCTTACCCAGGATCTATTATTATTATTATTATTATACATGTTTCATGTCACATAACATTTAATACACATATTAGCAGACTTGGGGATCCAATGAAAATAGGAAGCCTGTCAAATGGCTGCTATATTCCATACAATAGCTTAAAGACACTCTTCTGTGGTTTTAATTACATTTATATATTTAACTATTTAATAGATCTTAAAGTTTTTTTCTCCATTCACTGGTCACTCTAAACACAAAAAGATAGCAGAATTGTGAAGGAATTTTTAACCAATCAGTACTCCATACTCTGAAGGAGATGCTAATATAAGATTTCAGACTATCATTCATTTGAACCAAGTGAAATAGCTGTTATGGCTTTTCAACTCTTGCAGACTTGCAGGCATATATTTTGGACTCCAATTTCTACAGTCCATTCCCATTAGCCATGAACACCTGGGACTGAAAGGAGTTGAGGATTCAACCCCATGGAGAAACCCAGATTGCTGACTTCTCTTCTACAATCAAAATGTAGCTTTTGCTGAAGAAGGTACTAAGCCCAAAGAGGCCTCAATAAGTGCCTGGCTTGTTGATCTTAACCAAATTTACAGTTTCTCAGTGCCAATTTCAGTAATCCATTGCTCATTAGCTGACCACAAATGTTTACAATATTTGATTTAATGCACATTGAAAACTGATTCCAGGTTGTGATTAATGCAATCCAAAATCCACCTAATGCAAGGATAGCACATGTGCAACTAACTAGCTGCACAGGTGCAGTTGAGATTTTAAATATTGCTAATCTTTCTGCTTGCAAAGTGGAGAACAGGAATATTTTATCAGAGGAGAACAATACATGCTTAAAAAAGACTTATTACATTAGAACAAAAAATTAATGTAATAGAATTATATGAACCTGGTCCAAGCCATGCTAAAACAGACTGGGAAGTTGGAATATTTGAATCTGTGGAATTTTTTTTTTACATTTTGCTTTTTATAACCACTTTCTTATTTTTGTTAATCATACTTTTACATTATAGCTTTTTTTATCCTTTAGTGTAAAAGTCTACTAAACTACATATAAAAACGTATGTTTAAAAATTTTCATTCCCTATTTCTGTTAAATTGGAAACAATTTTCCATTGAAATATCACTTTGAATATAGCAGTACAAATTCAAATTATATGACCATTTTGTGGCTTCATTAAATGCTACTCTATATATGTTTTTCCAGTCTCAGTGACTCAAATAGCACAGATTCAAGTAGTGGGAAACAGTTATGCCTGGCTATTGCAGAGAGACCATCAAAATCCTCCCAGTGTTAACTTACCCTTCTTGTACCACCATTGGAGAAACATCTTTTGGCATGTGAGCCTGCCTATATTTCTGAGGATTTGACTATGAATGTTACTAATGAACCATGAAAAGCTATTAACTATGCCCTGGCTAATTTAACTTTTAGCTAACCGTGAATGCAAAGCACGGCTAGTACTTACTTGAACTTCTTTCAAAAGTAGAATCAGACAAATGAAAACCAAAGCAGTATTTTAGTTTGTAGGGGGACCCATCCATTCTCGGGTTTTTTGGCGCCCATTTCTCCGTGGGACAAGAGGGAGAAGTACATAGGTTAATCCGAGGCGCTGGGAGACCGGGAAGAGAATAAATCTCATCTTTAGGCTTGGTAGCCAAACCACTGCTGAACCTTTCAAGTTTTATATATTCCGTTTCCCACCCAGCCTTCTCTTCTTCTGCGAGGAAAAATTGGTGAAGTTGAAGGAATATCCATTCCCGAGTCATAAAGCCACACTAATAAAAAGAAGCTGCCACACTTCCCCCCCCCCTCGAAAATAATTTCCCGTGTCTTTGGCAGCCCTAAAAGCAGAAATCTTATGGTTTGCGATGGAGTTCTAATAATAAAAAAAAAAGCTTACACCATTTCTGTCCCCCTTGCAAGTTCCCCAAGGGAGACAGTCATACTTAAAATGCAAAAAACGATATAAAAGGGACTCCACATGGCACGAATTCCACAAAATGTGCAATGGGCTCTCTTCCCCGCTTTTGAAAAGCATCCTTCCCCGACTCCCCCCGCCCCAGCAGAATTCTCAAGTTACTTGTTCTGCCATTTATACAACAGCAGCCAAATCTGTTTACCTGAACTTTTCTTGTTCTCAGTTTTTTTCGTCCTTCTAAGACCGACCGGCACATACAGCCCAGAAGGAACATTGAGAAACTTTTCCTCCTCTTTTCTTCCTTTTTATGTTTCCTTAGACAAAGCCTCTCCTCCAGCAGGTGCGAAGGCGGAGAGGGCTGGCCGCACTGCCAGCTGGGAACTGTAGTCCAATTTCCCTCCAGCTTTTTCGTTGGTATTTTCTCACCATTCCCCCCCCTCTCCCCCAAATCTCTTTTATGACTTTTCTGAATCAGGACAAATACATTTAGCCCTGCAAAGTTCCCGACGCTTTGTAACTCTTCTTTTGTAGTATTTTACTCTTACATTTTCTACTGTGCTTCCCCCCCCCCCCGCCCCAATTCCATTATAAGTCAGCATGCAGCTTTATTCATTATAGCATGAGTTCATCAGAAATTAGAAGGCAAAGTAAGCTATGCTAGATATTCTGGGCCTAGTTCAGCAAACTCAAAAGCTTAAATACCAAGTGGTATTAATCTTAATCTTGCATGGATTATTCTGAAATATTCTTCCATGTCTCTTTATTTAAATATGATTTCCACCATTCTGAACCAATATTGCCATTCCAAGCTATATCTTAACTGAAGAGTTTTCCCATTTAAGATTACATACACTGGTATTTTTTAGCAACGCTAGATTTATTGAAGATTAGCAAACTCTTAAAACATTTTCCAGATATTTGTCATAATAGTCAATGGTTGCAGATGGATTGAGAGATACACTTTTAGAAATCTTTATGATTCTTGCAGAGCATTCAGAAGCTAGGAGCTGGTGCAGAGTGCAGTAGTACGGGCAATTTTTGGGGCCCCAAGGATGGCCCATGTGACACCCCTGCCCTGGCAACCAGTTTGCTTCTAAATGCAATTCAAGGTGTTGGTAATCATCTTTAAAGTCCTTCGTGGCTTGGGTCCAAGCTATTTGAGAGACCATCTCATCCCACTGGGATTGGCCTGCCTGAGCTGTGCCAGCAGAGAAGGCATGCTAGTGGGGTCCAGGAGAAGAAATTCAGGCTAGTGGGGTCCAGGAGAAGTAATTTCTCTGCAGTTGTTGTGTCCTTTGGAACATCTTACCCCAAATGAAGCCAGAGCCAACCCTCCTTACTTTCCATAAGAGCTTAAAGACCTGGCTCAGCCAGTTGACTTGCAGATCCAGTGTAGAGGTTTTCAATTCGATCGTGGTTGATAGATTAACAGATCCCATTACCTCCCCTTCTCATCATACTCCCCCCTCCCCATCATTTTATCTAATTTGATTTTTTATAGTTCTGCATTTATATCATTAGATTTTGCCCAGTTTTATCTTTTAATATTGTAAGCCTCCCAAAGTTACAATGTGGTAAGATAGGCAGTTAATAAATATTATAAATAGATAAATAAAATTCTACTGCAAATGTCCAGGCAAATAGAAATGGTCTGGCTTTCCAAGTCAGGCTTTATCATATATTTGAAAACTGCATTGATTTATATGTGAAGGTATATGACTTTGATATTATACTATGTGTATCTGTTCAGCACACAATAATTACAAACAAGAAGGAGCAGAAAAAACAAATAAGTGAACATAAAATAGAAAGAGACTCAAAGATGGAACTTAACAAAGCAAGAAAACATAATTTAATCCTAGTGGGGAAAAATTTACAAGAAATGGAAAAAAACAACTCATCCCTTAAGACTACAAAATAAATCTGAGGACAAAAAAACAGATTGGATAAAATGGAATGAAGAGATGTTGAAAACAGTGAGAAAGGAAGTGATAAGAGAAGCAAAGAAGGAGAAAAAGATTTTCAAGAAACATGGAAAGGCAAACGTCTCACATAAAGACACTTTATTCAATTTACTTCTTATACTTACAACAACAGTCATAAATATATGGAAAAACGTTTTGATTCAGCAAAACACATTGATCAAGATACTGGACAAAGAAAAAAGATCAAAGTGAAAATTAAGAAAATAGATGATGGGATTTACCAGAGAGAATATTTAAAAAAGAAACATTTGTTTGAATATGGTTAAAGAAATAGAAAAGATTCTGAATACATAGGTCATTCTAAGAGAGAGGAACTTCTTAAATAATACTGTATGCTTCCCCCCCTTTTTTATTTTATTTCTTGATATAAGTAATATAATACTGCTGAAATGGCCTAGATGAAGGAAATGTTTTAGATAATTAAATGTGTCTGAATTTAGGGAAATTATAATGTATAAAAAAGAAAAAAATGTTTTGAATATGAGTTAAAGGATAGATGACTAGACACATTAAATGGAATATTTAAAGATTAAATATATTTTTAATCATGGTTAAAAAGAATAAGAAATTTTGGGAATGAATATATATTAGCTTAGGAGGAATATATATTTTAAGTAGTATTTTACTTTTTATGCTTCTTTACCTCTTGCTCTTTTTTCCTTTTCTTTACTGTTTTTACCTATTCTTTAAGAAATGTAAAAGTGTTAAGATGATTTATATGGAAAAATGGATTTAAATCTTTAAGTAATTATCTGTTGAGAAAATCTTAATCAGCAAGAATACTTTGAACTTTATGGGAGAAACAAATATAAATTAGGACTGTAACAGGATATAAGATGAGGCAACCAGAATGATTAGATAGAAAAGAAATATTATATTGATGTGATCATTATTTCTAGGAATATTGGGAAAATCATATATGTAACTATTATTTATCAAAATAATAAGAACTGTATTATTTCAAGGTTTACAAAGAAGACATTTTGGAGAAAAGGGAAAATCAACTAAATGTACTATGTGGATTATGGACTATAGAAACCATTTGTTAATGATTTTTCTTTACAAATGTAAACCCAGCAAACACACAGTTTAGCAACTATTAAGTGATTTATGTTTTTAAAAATCAATAAAATATATGGAGAAGAATAATTACAAACAAATTACGGTATAATATTGAGAAGAATCTCTTTTGTGTTTATAAGATTTATCAATCTTAGAAACTAATCCTGAAGGGTTTTGGCCAAAACGCACAGACAGTAACAAAGTGATATAAGACCAGTGGTGGGATTCAAATATGTGAACAACTGGTTCTCTGTGTGGATGCCGCTTCCGGAAGTCCATTCTGGGCCTATCAGTTCTGCCGAACTGGTGCAAATTGGATGAATCCCACCACTGTATAAGACATACAGTTATGATACAAAATAACCATGGAACCCTATCATTTTAGTGTTGATTATTGCATGTAGCAACCTCCAGAGAAACATTTTAAGAGACCCAGGTTTCACTTTTCTTTGAAAGGACTTAAAATAGGGCTACTTTTGTTTCTTGGTGGGAAACTGTTTCGAAGGAGAGGAATCTTCACAGAATGTATTCTCTGGTCACTCAACTTAGGCAGATAATGTTCCAAGCACCAAGTTATATAGGGCTTTATAGGTATTGACAAGCATCAAGTATTCCATCAAAAAACAAACAAACAAACAAAAAAATACCAGTAGCCAGCACACTTCTCATAGCAATCATCTAATGTTTATTTATTGCTTTTAAAATAACAAAAAGAAAAAAGTTATAATTATAATGAAGATACATAGATTCTGAAAAAAGATACTACATAAAAAGCACTTCTAAAAAGTGAAAAAGAAAAATACAAACAGAAAAAACAAAGTATATAATTGCAGTATAAGAGTTACAATTCTATTGATACTTATCTAATGTAAATACAGATGCACATATATTGATTTCCAATACATTTATATAACTATCATTCATCTTTAATCTATTCCATTTTGTAAAACTGAGTTCCATCTTTCATTATACTTGTCTATGCAAAGTTCTACATCTACAGACAAACTACTCATAGATGGCAAATTTAACCAGGTCTTCAATCCATTGAATAAATGGGATCGATTACATTTATCTTTCCAATGCTGCTATATCAGTGTTTTGGCCATAGGAAGAGCACAAAGAATACATTTATATTCTAATGTCCATGTTGTAGGCATGTAAAAGAATATCCTCTGAAAATTTAAGGAGGGATATAACATGATAGTGGTGAGACAGTCCATCAAACACATAGGCTGTTGCAGATTAAGTTTTAATGATGTTAAGTGCAGCTGAAATTTGAAAGAATCAGAACAATCCTATTGCAAAATAACAAAGGGGAATAATGGGGGCATAAAACAAGTCCAGTCAGTGACAATGCTGAATCAGCATAATTATTGTAGAAAAAGAGCCTTGTTGACTTCTAGAGCATTTTAATTTGGGTCTATATTGTTTTCTGTAATAAATGCCTTAGCCCCAGACATAAGGGGAAGTCTGAAATTAGATTCTACCTATTACTAAGTTTGGAATTTACTGGGTACTCAGATCTGCTTGTTTTTCTTTTCTAACTCTTCATTTCGGTTTTGAATCAGTAACAAATTTGGTTTTGTTCTGTTTTTAATTTGGTGTTTAAGTTTGCTAAGTAGTTCAAGCAGAAGCACAACCACTTCTGTGAATCACAGAATCACTTCTGTGAACCACATCAATATAATTTTGCTCCTTTAAGATTTTCTTTTTTTTCTCTTTTTCTTTCTTTTCTTTTTTTGCAAAACATTGACACAATATTTTGTATGTAAGAATTTCATGTGGCCCTCAATGAACATTGAATTTTTCTCAAGAAAAATGGGGAGGTCCTTTTATTTTTAAAAAAAGCAATAGATTTATCTCTTAGAAATATAGTCTATCTAAATTGCAATCCTTATCTCCTCTGAACAAACTGAATCTTGCCTCAAAAGGTAGAGACTTAAGCAGTCAATTTTTCTCCCCTAATTTTAGAAAAAGGAACCCTGAAGATTGAAAAAATTCATTAGCTATCATCACCAAAGGAGCTGGCTTCCCTAGTTTCCATACTCAAACCATTTTTTAACCAGCTGCCCTGAGAGAAGAATTCTAGATATCTGTTAAAGTAATGTTTATTGTACTTTTACTTACAATTACTCATATAGCTTTAAGTGACTTTGTGTAGGCCATTAACTTTGAAAGGTGGTACACAGCCTGCAATTAGTTAAAATTTAGAGAAGGTGAACAACCTTTAAGTGGCTGGCCACAACATTTGGTTTTCTGTGTGGTGAATGTTGCAGTGGGTAAGACCAATATAGGTGGGTTGAAAGAAAAAATAGCACAACCTATCCCAAACTGAGGGGGAACCCCAAAATAAATATTAAATCAAGAATTAGAACATTTAAAGAATGGTTTTATCACACTGCCAAGTTTTTGCAGCCAGTTCTGCAGAGTCAGTGTGGTTTCTTGGCACTCTTAGAAAAGGAAAAAAAAAACATTCAATCCTTTGAATATCTACAAAGAATTAAACCAAAATCAAACTGGCAATGGCATAATTGAAGCACAACCTCTTTTTTGCATGATTTGTATGTTGGGAATTATTTGTTTATAGCACAGGTTTATTTTAAATAATTCAAGGTGGTGAACAAAAAGTGATCAGGAATAGCTACAAGCTATAATGAAAAATGTCAAGATGGCAAGTCATGATGCAAACAGATCTCTTATTTTTATGTCCATCACATATATGAAATGGATAGAGCTTCAATTTCACCATTCTGGCTACCAGCTTACCCTTTTTTCAAATTATAACTTAACACTACTTGTGATACAGATGTAAGACGGTAGCTTATTGAATAAGTCTACAGACCATTTCAGATAGATTGTAGGTAATTAACAGCTGGCAGAAATGTGGATATTATTTCCCATTCCCCTAAATATGCAATTTGTATCACAGCAAGGCCATTTGAAGTTGAAGATTAAACAGATGGAAGAGAAGCCCTCTGGATCTAGTAATAGTCCTCCTGCCTCTATTCTCTTGACCCCAAGCTCAGATGTCCCCCCCCCTCAAATGAAATAGTAAAGCTAACATGGTAACGGGTTAAATTATATGATTAAAAAATATCAGTTTCAGGTGATTCAAAGAGGCTAGTCAGGTATCTACTTAGTAAAATCAGGAACATCTGGCTGACCCAGAGGGTGACCTTGAATTATATTCAGAAGCTATTCCTTTACAGGGAAGCAAGTGAGAATTAAACAGAAACATAAATATTGGCCTTTACTTGGTTTTATACTGTTTTTTATCCATCAGGGTTATTTTGGTAAAAATAAAAGCAAGGACAGTTGAAATGCATTTTCGTCACATAAAGCCATTAAGGTTGAGTTTCAATTTCTGTCAGCTGCAATCAAATTTCATATATACCATCTTCTGAGCAGGAATCATCAATTAAACTGCCAGGGCATTTGACATATTTACTTGTAGTTCAGCCACTTTACACATGACTGGGAAAAAGGAAAAAAGGAAAGTGCAAATTTGCAGGGAAAAATCAACCCACTTTAAATTTCTATATGCAAATTTACAATAATGATGCTTGTTGTCACTAGAAAATGATGTTCTGCATTGATAGGCAGGCCCAAAATCTCTGCCTTCTCTCTTCATTTTTTTTCATCTTTATAATTAGCTAGGCAGCTTTTAAGTAGACAATTATTAAGAAGGGCTCATGCATCCTATCTATCCTACCCTCCTATTCCTTTTTAAACTGGAAGAAAGTTTCATTGATAACAGAATTTGTTTGTCAATTTCTAAATGGAGACATTGATGCTATTTCAATTTGCCTTGATATTTGAATTAGATGCATTTTTTTGTGAAGGGTAATTAGAAATGCATTCTAAATATGGCAGCACTAATTATAATTGCTCATTTTTCAGAAGACCAAAAAAACAATAAACAGGAGCTCCATTTTTTGTTTAGAAAAACACAATGTCTATTCTTATAACATTCAGTGCCAAAATAATTCTAACTTTAGAAAATTCCATAGGAGCTAATATTTTAACACAGAACTAGATATAGAACATAGAATAATAGAGTTAAAAAGGACCTTGGAGTCTTCTAGTCAAACCTCCTGCTTCTTGACCATTCTAGACAAATTTCTGTCTAGCCTCTATCTGAAAACCTCCAGTGATGGAATACCCATGATATCTTGAGGTAACTGATTCCACTGATTAATTGTCCTCCTTAGTTCTAGATTGGATCTCTCTTTAATGATTTTCTGCCTTTTCCTGCTGTAGGTGCTTTGGAGAATAGGTTGAGCCCTTCATCTGGGTCAGCCCCACAAGTATTGGAAGACTAGTTTCATTTCATCTTAGTCCACTCTGTTAGACTACGCATACCTAGTTTCCTCAATCATTCATCATATGGTTTAGCCCAGGGCTAGGCAACCTTGGTTCTTTTATGACTCATGGACTTCCAACTCCCAGAATTCCTGAGTCAGCTATGCTGACTTAGGAATTCTGGGAGTTGAAGTCCATGAGTCATAAAAGAGCCGAGGTTGCCTAGCCCTGGTTTAGCCTCTAGATCATTTTTCTGTTTTTCTCTGCACTCTTTTTAGTTTCTCAACATCTTTTCATATCGTGGTGACCAGAATTGGATTCAGTGTTCCAAGTGTGGTCTTATCAGTGCAGTATAAAGTGCTGCTATCACTTCATATGATCCTGAAACTATTCCTCTATGCAACCTAGATTGCATTAGCTTTTGGGCAGCTACAACAGATTGCTGGCTCATACCTATTTAAGTTTCTGTCTAACTAGCACCCAAGTTAAAACATAAAGTGTTGCTGAATCAGAACCAGAATAGAAAATTAGTAAAGAAAGATAAGTATTGCTGAGTATTCAACTGAATCTCATGATTCCGTTTTAATAGGGATCAAATTTCAGACTTCTTGCTTATTGCTGTTCATAGTTAGTGTATTTATTATAAAAAACAATATAGGCCAAAATTAAAATGGGTTGGAAACCAATTTAGGGCCTTCTATTCATATATTTCTGCTAATCCAACACTTGTTACTGAACTGCTGCACTCTCACATTGTTCCCCCTTGGCATTTAAGGTTTCTTTTGGTTCAATAATAGCACAGCTTTTGGCACTGACAAGCCATATTTTTAAATCTGTGATGCTGCTGGATTCTGCAGTGATATGCACTATTTTTCCATCTTGCTTACCAGATCTTCCATGGAGTTCTTCAGTAGGTTTTATACGCAGCTTAGCAACAAATTCAATCTTATTCTTGTAGCAAATTTCACAATTTGTTAAGAAAGTGGCCTGATTTTCCTTGCTTCTATAAGCAGTCTATGCAAAATTTTGCTTCATCTCGTCTCCCGGCCTTTGGACTTAAACAAATCATTTTTCTCTCTGCGTCTTTCCAAGCACAAATAATGTTGGTGTGTTGAAGCTGTTGAAAAAGTTTCCAGTTGCAATGCTGCAGTGTCCTGCCATCATTGCTTTCAATGAGAATTTATTGTCAAGTGTGAAGTCTTGGTGGCCAGGGAGCTCATAAATTTGCAAAGTGAATGCCACATTTACCAGAAACAAAAAGAAAGTTATTTTTATCGGCAATAATTGTTTTCCAGAAGCTGCTAAGACATAGGCAGAGGGCAGTAACTGAATCCCAGTTTCTGTCTTCTCTAACAGCTGAATGAGTTTATGGTACTCTCTGCTTCTTCTTAACTTCCATAGCTCATCAGGAAAGACAACAATTGATTGATCATCATCACTGCTGATTTGAAAACCCTTTGGAGAGATTGGTTATGGGAAGACCTTTGTGTAGAAGGATTCTTACTCATAGATTACATTTTTTTGTGATTTAAGTCACTTAGATCCCAAATGGGTCCAAATAAGCTACGCTCCTATATATTATTCTCCAACTTAACTTACAATGGCTGAGTGGGCTGGAACTCAGTTGCTCAGCTGAGGTGATGCTGCTTAGATCCTTTTCAAAATCTTCTAAGCTCAGACTCCAGAATTTGATATATTTTACTGTTGTGTTTCAAACCAGCCACTATGTGGCAACAGCATACTATGACTGAACTAATATTTCAGAGAAAATGTGTCCTATTTTTTGCTTTTCTGGAAGAATTGGTCATGAGCATCCATTACAAGATTATATCTTGAAAACCAATTTACAGATAGTCCTCAACTTACAACCATAATTAGGATTGGAACTTCTGTTGCTAAGCCATGTTAAATGAGTCACAATCAATTTTACAACCTTTTTGCTGTGATAATTATGCAAATCTGACTGACTCTGCTTTTCAGAAGTCACAAAAGGTGATCACATGATCTTGGGACACTATATCTGTCCTAAGTGCATGTGGATTGCTAAGCACCCAAATCTGATCATGTGACCATGGGGATTCTGCAACAGATGTATGCAAGGACAATGTAGGTCACTTTTTTCATTGTAACTTCAAATTGTCATTAAATGGTTATAACTTGAGGACTGCCTGTATCTGTATACTATCAGTGTCAACTAGTGGTGAATCCAATATTAAGACTTCCCAAATAAAAATAACCCAAAACAATAATTTCACGTGTCAGGACTTACAGAAGCCTTCCCATCTTGGTACTCACCAGAGGGGTTGGACTGCAACTCCCATCATTCCCAAACACCAAGGATGGGGCTTGTGTTAATGATTATGAGATTTGAGATCCCACATATACCAAGGGCACCAGGTTGAGAAAGGCTCACCTACCAGATAGTAAAAATATCATCATACTTATTGGAACAAATCTCAGAGCAAATGAGTACATTGAATCAAATATCTACTCTGTTAGTAAAGCAAACGTAACTGCAAAAGAACATTATTAAAACAATAAACTGCAGCGTAAGTAAGAAGTTATCTGTATATCTATCAGAATTCAAACCATAATGAGATAAAATTCTGAAATAATGGAGCTGTTTCAACTGGCTCCTAATCCAGAGATGGAAATGGCGATTCAGGCTCCCTTCTTGAGGTGACTGTATTACCTACCACAAGTTTGAACAATGCTTTGAAAAATGATGGATAACTATGCATCACATGCCAAATTTTACGTAATAGCTGAATCTAGCTTAAATATACAGTGACCAATCCTGTTTTACAGACCAATCATTGTTAATAAAAATAGAAAAACTAAGGTAAAATGGAATATATATTTCAGTTTCACCTAAGGAGGAAAAATAATGCAAATAGTTAGGTTATAGGTAGCATTTGCAAACAGAGAGATTCATACATTGTAGGAGCAACACACCTGATTAAGTGGAAAATGAATACATAGTTCAAAGAGTTCTTCCAGCAATATTTAATTTCCAGTCTGTCCATAGGAACAGGAATAGAAATAGCAAGAAGGCTGAACCATATCCAGGAATGTTAGAACTGCCCTTTTCAACATATTTTGCCCAGAAGCTGAAAGCATCTTGATTTAGCCAAGGTAACATATTGCTGATGGCATCAAAAATAATTCTTTCTCTTGCTGCCACCTGATTAAATGGAACTGACAAGACCTGTTGCTCAGATGAGAACATGAAGTTAATAACTGGCAGGTCAAGTTAGAACAAGAAGCAGAGAAACATATTGATGCATATACAGGACAGTTCTGGATAAAGCTATAAATTACTGCTGTCAGAAGCAGTGGGAAAGTCAACAAATAGGTCTGTGCATTCTTGTTGATCTGTCATGTTTATGAAATACATTATGTCACAGGAATATTACAATTTGTAAAAAATATGTTATCTCTCATGCAGCTACTGATGAAATCAGGACTAACCTGAGGCTTATGGGGGAACTTGGCATAATACCCTCTTGCTCAACACAACCCCTTGGTTTCAGCTGGAGAAATCTCAAGAATCAAATTATAAACAGCCAATTAAAGCTATGCCACACTGGGGACTTCAGAGAATGGCGAAGAATTAATAGATGAGGCCTTATCTTCACCACGGGGACTAGGATGCACAGGGTAGGTTATCAGCTCCAATGAACGACAGTGGCAGTTTCTCAACCTTGGCCTCTCCATTGTAAGTGGACTTCGATTCCCAGAATTCAACAGTCAGCACACTGGCTGAGGAATTCCGGGAGTTGAAGTCCACATATTTTAAAGTGACCAAGGCTGAGAAACTCTTTAAAGTACTGGGAAACATGGTTTTCCCCAGAATAACTGATGAATGAGACAAACCTTTTTAACTTTAGCAAAATAGCTATAGCACGTTCCTTCACAAATTATAGTGCTAGCGCACAATTCATTTGCATTTGCACCTTCTTCAGTTGATGGCAATGATGCATGATTATGAATTTCATTCATAGATGCTTCATCAAGAGATGGTCACAATAAACAAAACTTTCCACACAATGCTGTTCAGTAGTCAGTTCACATATTCAACCTGGGTTATTGATCAAGATCATGCATGTAGGAACTGTTTTTGTCTGCATTTGTTCAACAAAACTGTACAGACAAAATATTTCCTTTAAAATGTAAGAAATCTCTTGATTTAATGAACAAAAGCTTTCACTTGTACTAGCTTTAATAACTTCTAGCCAGCTAACCCAAAGGCTTTGGGACAACTTATACCAGCTAGCCATATCTAAAATTTCTCATATTACCTCTTGTTATTGGTGTGGAAGAGGAAGATCTTTTTTGTTTTTTACGTGCAGATATTGGGATATAAAACATCAGTAATAACAAAACAGTTGCAGAAACAAAAGCACACCCTAACATAAGCTGAAATCTACATTGAAGATAATTTCAGGTGAATACAAACACTTTCAGGTCTTATCATTTGAAGCAATAAGGAGTTCACCTTGGCAGATAAAATTCTGCTAGCTAAAGAAAAAAGCCACTAAAAACAAACAAAACTCTAAACCCCTGCTACACTGAGAGAGCACCAACTTGTTGACATAGTCACAATTTTGAGATCTGTCACTTTTGACAGTGTTGGTTATAAGCAAGCAAATTGTAAATAAATGAAATTTCCCATCTGCCATCAAATATCTCAACGGTGGGTTTTCAGTAGTTAAGCTAGTCATAAGCCAGTTACAGCAAGCTAACTTGAATGTAAGAATACTGTCATATAATTGAGATTTAGAGTTAGTATTTTGTAACCCTCTCTGTGTATAATCACTGGGTGGATTTTATATATCCAAAGAGAAGCCAAGAATAACACAAAAGTATTTCCCTCCAAAATCTTATCTAATAATCTGACAATTTTATCATTCACACATTTATCTTTCCAAGCAGTCATAAAAGTAGAAGCCAACTGTTACCTCAAAACTAAAAGTGGTTTTAATAATTCTGTCAGCATGATTCTTGGTAGATAAAAGAACTGAGGAAAATATTATTGCTTTCAAGTCTACTATGTTGCTTCTTTTCTTGTTTTTGTTAAAATTTCAACTTGTGGAGCATGACAGATAGAAATTAAGAAAAGACCACAGTCAGCATTATGATTTCTTTTAAGCAGCTTTTCCGTAGTGGAAAGGAAAACCCTGAAGTTCTTCTAATCTTCCTTTTACTCTGTTATCCATCTTGCCATTCTCCTTCTACTCTTTGATTATACCATGTCTAATTCTGGAAAATCAAATTTAATTCATACCAGTAAGCTGGCAGGAGAGAGTAAATGGCTTGACATTGGATGGCAATGATTATACAGAAGCAACTTTGCTTCCTAGATCCCTTTGATCCTGACTCCTTTCATTTGTCATTCTAGAAAGATTAATGGCTTACGGGATGGTATTAAAAATACATTTTGCTCCAGTAGACCCAAAGGATGAATCTTAGGAGTGGGGGTGGGGAATAAAAACCTGGGGAAAAGCATAAAGGTCTACTTCCCTACACTTTATTGTAAGAGAACCAGGTCATTTAGAAGTATAGTATCAATACTGCAACTCTGCTTATGTTAATGTTTGATACTTTCTCTTCCTCAGGAAACAATTACAGACCCTTATGGCTGATGTAACACTGGCAGTTGAGCTAAATATAGAGAAAGGCAAAGAATCAGGAGGGGAAAAAAAGAGATTGCTATCCTATCCCATTGTATCAGAGAAAACTACAAATATCATTAGGTGAAAATAGCTGTTTCATCATAGTAATTTCTTAATTACTATGAAAAAAAATCAGAATTTTCAGCCACCATATTTGACAATGCAAGTTATAAATTTTAATCCAATATCTGGAAGGTACCATGTTGGAAAAGTTTGTTTTAAATAACCACATGTGCTGTAGGAAACTGATATTGCAGAGTGTTTCTGCAAATACAATTAACCCAGGAGAAAATTGTTCTTAAATACTGTGACTCCTATCCAAATCTTATTCACTGGGATTTTTAAGGTGCAAGTTTAGTACTTCCTTGTGCTTGCTAACATTTTTTCCACTCTCAATAATGTTTTCATTGTCATTGGGAGACAGACGTCTGCTCAACAGGGAATGTTTAGAATAACTTGCTTAGTGTCAGGAACCAAAGTAGAAGTCCTGATACAGATTTTAGGAGTATAGGGCATGACAGATTATTGTTTATGGAGAAGAGATAAATTGCAAAGAATGTTATAGAAAAGAACTTCATCCAAATAGTTTCATTTTCATCTTTGATAGATATTTTGTAGCATTCACAGGTAAGTGGCACAACACCTGAATCAATGCAGACTTCTAGGGTATAGGTAATATAGATTAAGTCACATGCTCCTGCAGCATAGAAGAGGCAGAAACCATTTGATAACCAGGGTGTCTCTTAAATTTGGGGGGGATGGCAATAAGAGTTACAAAATGGCTAGGCAGGGACTATGACATGACATTAGACTAGGCTTTGGGTTAAGTTGTATCTGTAATGTATCTCTCTTCTACTGCAGTTTCCATTTCCCACCTCAGAATAACAGGGAATTGTGCTGTTGGTTCTGAGCATTTATGATCAGGATGCTATGAGGACTGCAAAAAGAATACACGTGGCCTTGGAGCTATAGCTACCCTCCCACTACTTTACGATTAAGACAGTGGAAAATGTGGGGCACATCCCATATGAGTGCTCTGCAGTCATTTTGGACTATACACGTAGTCCTTGATTTATGACTGCAATTGGGACAGGATTTATAGTTATAACTCGTTATAGTCATAAGTCAAGGTACTTATGAGATCAGACCTGATTTTATGACATTTTTGCAGTGGTAGTGAAGTGAATCACTATGGTTGTTGAATCTGCAGCCATTACGCAAACAGTGCAATTTTAAGTGCAAACCCATTTTTCCCAAAGAGTATTTTTTGCCCATTGTAAAGGCGAATGAATTGCCAAGCACCTGAAATGCAGTCACATAACCCTGAGAGATGAAGGGAAGGAAGACATTTTATGATGGCCAGAAGTGCTTTACAAGCCATAAAACACCAGTTGTGGGCTTGTCCAAGTTCAAATAGTTAAGCAACCTGACAAAAGTCAAGGTTTGTCTTTTTCCATTGGTCATGCTCATGGTACTTATTGATGGGAATTGAAGTTGAAAGGATTGTGATAGTGTAAAGCTAGCCATCTCCTGCTATAGGATTAGCTAAGCACATGGCAGCTTTCACACCTGACTTCAAGGGCAAATATGTGATTTCATATGTTGGCAACACATCAGTATACCAGTTAATGTTCAACAAACATTAACTGCTACACAACATACAGCTGGGTATAGCCTTTCTATCATGCGGATGTATATCCGCATGAAGGAAGGATTTCAAGCTCCTGAACTTTGTCTTTAGTACAAAAGGTTCAGTCAAATACGTGCTGGAGGCTTTCAATGCATTGTTGAAAGCTGCTTAGTACCACAACTTCAATAAAAGCTGTTTTTGAAAGATCAAAGTATAGAATTCAAAGAAATCTGAATAGTGTGACATAGAAATGTATGCTTTCTTTTTTATTCTCTTCCTTCTCCCGTCTGCAGTCCACATCAGCCTTAGGAAATTGTGTACTCTCACTTTTCAGCCTCTGTAATTAAAATTGAACACACCAATTCAAACACTTAACACTTTGGTCTTAAACATCGCAAACACACACATTGTTCTCTCTCAAGGCCCACTACTTTCATGAAAACTGGGTCAAGGAAAAAAATTGCCCCTTTTCCCTCAGTTTAAATATGTATAACTTAATTTGAACATACATTTTTTATTTCATTCCCTCTACGCATTTCCTGTTCCCCCCCCTCATTCAATAGAATTTTACTACGTAAACACAAGAAAGTAGTTCATTTGCATTGCAAGTTTAGGTTTAAAATTTTATTTGTTTTTGTTGGGTTTTTTTAGCTTTGGTCTATACAAAAAAAATCCCTTAGAGAAATAATAATAAAATATTCTAAAGTACAATTGCAGCTACATTGATCCCTTTTCCAGTGGAAGCCTCAAGCCATCACATTGAGAGCTGCTTTTAAAAATGCATTAGAAGGAGCAAGGAAATAGGAGGAAGAGAACACACCAATCACCAGGAAGATTGAGAGAAAGGGAGGGACCAAAAGTAGGGATTGGATTAAAAATATGAAAAAAGTGGTCTGGTGAGCAGAAAGTTTACCTAATTTTTTTTAGTTATTCCGGTTTATACGGCAATTTAAAAAGCCGATTGGGTTGAGGTCCCAAATCTACAGATGTACCTGTTGGGCTAAAAAATGGAAGAAACTGGACAAACGGAAAGCTGTTTATTTCTTGGTGCATTTACACCCAGTGGCTCCTTCTGTTTTATTTTTAAAAGTTAAATATTTAAAAAGTGAGAGGAGTAGAATAGAAATATTTTCATTTTGTCTTCTTTTGATTTAATTCTCATTTATGTTAAAAATGCAAAGAGGCAAATAAAATCCTATCGAATGGAAAACTCTGCACCAAATACAAATCTATGTATGCATTTATGCTCTTATCAGTGTGTTAGTTTTAGTGTATAGATTTAAAAGTACTTTATTAGGATCCCATGGCAGTTTAAGGATAGTGCTCCAATTTGCAAGAAAAATATATACTGAATGTTAACAAAGAATATTGCGGGAAAGCGCAGAAAGAGTAGCTGACTGCTAATAGTACAATGTTGTTAGATGAAGCACAGATTATGGACTGGGAATCTTTCCCATAGGCCCACAGGAGGGAAACATGAAAATGAAACCGCCTCAAAGGGAAAAGAAGAATTTTGTCATCATCTTTCTCAGGCACTTCTGTCTCCTGAACGCCCAGAACTTGAGCACTGGGGCTGCCCTCTTCTGTGTTAAGGAAACATCTGCTGATTAAGAAAAACAAAGGAAGGGAAAATTAGATTTACACCATATACAGGAAAGCAAGATTTCCCTTTAGGATGGCGGAAGCTGCTCTGAATGCATCAGGTCAGGCCACTGTCCATCTAACAAGCTCTGTCTACTTTTATGGTCCCAATTTGGGGGGGGGGGCTGTCTGGTCCCTGCGAAGAAAACAGTCACTTTTGACTTCTCCAGTCTCAGATCCCCAAAATATGATGGGCCATATTTGTTATGTTGGCAGAGACTGATGAGAGTTTGTGATCATATATTATGTAAAAGACTGGCTGGCAATGCTCCAATCTTCACTTTTTCCTGTGAACAGAAATTATATATTTATTTTAGCATGAGCTTAATTAACAGTGCAGCCAGTCTGTGTGCTCAGTAATATACAGTACCCCCTATTCCTTTTTCTTAAGCGTTGGCTAGTTTCTACACTTTATGCATTGTTGTATAAGTTTTCTTTTCTCTTTCTACCCAAAAGTGGAAAACAGCCACAAGGACCTCACAGCTATTAGAAACAACTTATTAATAAAAAAAAAGAGAGAAGTAATATTTAGCTGAACACACAAGGGACATTTATAGCATTGAAAATTGAGGTTCCATTTCAAAATCTTTTTTTCATCAATTTTACCAGGTGGTTTCAAAACCATGGGCAATGTGATTGGAGACTGTCAGATGCAGAAAGCTGGAAAGGAGGCAAATTTGGCTTAACCAAACACAATAATCGAGTTCTGTCGGTGATAAACCTGCATGACTTTTATTTTGCTTGGTCTAAAGTTGCCCTTTATTTACTGAATAATCATTATCGACATTTAATTTTTTACTAAAGAAAGGCAAGACAGAAATCTATTTTCTTCTGGAATGGGAAGCATGGATATGTTCTACAGGTCAATGAAAATTGAAATATGTTTGGTTATAAAGAACAAAAACACCCATTTTATTTTCTTTTAGGTTTTATTTCCATTAACTGGTCAATTCCCAAATGTACTAAACTAGATGCTTTTACCTTGAGTCCTGCCCAACATGTCCAAGGGACATATTAGGCGAGCATGTGGTCTGGGTAAGGTGCTCGCACACCATCGCTGTATGTATCCATGGGGTAGTCTCCATCCATGTCCAAGTGCATGTCCATGGGATCCATAGGAATTTCCGCAGAGTACATGCCACGATATCCTGCATCCAATTCTATTGAAGCGTAAAAAGAAGAAAGGGATATATCATTCATATTTGGCAAGACAAGCAGTAAGCTGTAAAATAAAATGGTTTTCTAAAGCAGAATTTTCCAAAATGAGCCTTTTCAATGTGTTCAGACTTTTAATTTAACTATCATACATGTTCCCAGAAACAGCCTGTTTAACTATCATACATGTTTCCATGAGCAGCTTCCAAGAATAAACAATAGCTAAGCCAGTAAGAATAAGAAATTTTAGCAAAGCAGCCTGGTTATACATCATTATTCTCCCTCTCATCTGAAATGACAAGCCCTCTATACTCACCATCTGCATATGGTTCATGAATCGGTATCATACTCTGAGCCTGTGGAAAGAAACCCAACAGTTGTCAGAACAATGATAGAAACTTGCAATGGCTGCAAATTAAACCAAGCCTACCATAAGAGGTCACTACTGAAGGATGCTACCTATGCATCTGAGCTTTGGTTTCCCATGGCAATGTAATTATCTAATTAACTTTGATTGACTATAAGCAGGATAGCAAAAATTTCAGAACTCAGGCAAGCAATCCTAAATGTTTGACCCAGAGAGCTTAGAGACATCCAGTCTGCTAATTTCTGGAAGGATCCATCCATAGGGAATGATTAAACCTACCCTAAGAGCCAATAGTTTAGATACTAAGCTTACTTAGGCTGGGATACACAACAGAAGGCTTAAGTCTTCTTTTATGCATAATTAGTTTATCCCAATAGGCTACTCCTTTGCTGTCTTTCCCAGGAGTGATACTGGCACAGGAATGAATAAATGAGGGAAGGGCACTTTTTCTCAAGTTCTTTCTTAGTTATCCATTGATAAAATTTGTGTAGATGTTACAACATTTACCACTGCTACTAGCAGTAGTACTACATTTAATGTAAAACAGATGTTGGATTGTAATCTCCATATGATATGTATTTGTTTCCATACATGAAATAAAAGACCTATAATGGTTTTCCTCAGCACCTTACTAAAGAATCACTACTTTAATCAAAGTGGAATATCAATTAACAATGATTCAGGTGGACTTTAAGAAAAATTTGAAATCAGGTCCACAAATTCTGTTTCATTTTGGCAGATTTCCAGATGACTTCAAGTATACCAAGACTGCAATTTTCTCTCAGGAAATTATTTTAGACAGAATTCCAGATATCTGCAGCTCTCCTAATGACACACAAGTCCCCCTTCCAATTATGGCCAGTTCCCTTATAACAGTGGTTCTCAACCTGTGGGTCGGGACCCCATTTGGGGTCGAATGACCATTTCATGGGGGTCACCAAACCATGCTGTCCGCCATTTTTTTCCCTTTTCCCTAGCTGTCCTACTCCCTCTTATTGGTGGCCACACCCACTTGGGGGTCACCGCAACATGGGGAACTGTATTATGGGGTCACGGCATTAGAAAGGTTGAGAATCACTGCCTTATAATCAAGGAGTAAACTGCTTTGACAGAGGACTGAGGAACTGGGGAGAAAAATTTCAATAATTAGAAACATTCTTTCTACCTTTTTAGTAGCAAAAAGATCTAGACATGAGGATGGTAACAGACAAAATCAGAAAAGTACTATTCTCAGAACTGAAAAGAATTCTCCTAGGCATATTTGAAGTCATCTTGAAATGTCTGACTTCCTTAATATTTCCAAAGTTCTGCCTTTGAAGTGAAATGAATGGTGAAGGGAGCAAGGGGTTGGATTTCCAGGAGGGAGAGACTGCATTCCAGAGGAGTAAGAGGCAAGCTCAGCCCAGATATCATGTGGGAGAGAAAGAGGATGAAGACAGCCTCTCCCTAAAAATTCACAGAATATACTGTAGATGCAGATAGTAGAGTCCTCAGCCTGGCAGTCTATAGCTGTGAAAAAATAAAAAAACCTCAAGCTTGGAAGAATTGCCATGCTCGGTCTTGGTTTGGGGACGTACATGGTTAAATTCAGAGACTTAGAGCATGTCAACTAAACCCATACCATCTAAATAACAGAAAAACTCACAGCTTCCCAAGCAGCAGGGTCATGTTTAAAGAGTGAGTTGGTGAGTTCCACGGAGACGCGTTTCCGATAGTCTGGGTTCTTGTCTTCAGAGATGCGGAACAGCACAGCAGCTGCATATGTAGCTGGAGAAGTAAAAAGGGGATCATAAGCTGCTAGCTAAAAAAAGCTGCCCCTTGATCAGTTGTTGCATTGACTACTTTGAGAAGTACGTGAATGGCATTGATTCCCCAGTTTTCTTTCCCATACTGTAACAAAATCCACTAGTTTCTGATAATAAAGCTTTTCATTTTTGCAAGCATTTTAGGGACCAGTTTTACAATACAATTACTTTTGGTCTATATCACATTCTAGATTTTAAGAGAAGAGCTGCATGTTAGAATACTCTTGTATTGGAGGAGTTATCTGGTAATTGAAACTATCCAGAGCTTTAATATTATTATGATCATGAGCTTTTGGAGTCAATTCTTATATAATTAACTCCTTTGCTGTAATAAAAATCATTGTCTCTGGGCTCCAGTATTAACAAAAGAATATATAAAGGAGGACTACATTTGATTTCTAAATTAAAAAAGACTAAAACTAAGTTACAATCTTACTCCTAGATCAGACATGTCAAACTCGCGACGTCACGTGACGTTGCGCAATGTATCAGGACGGTTTTGCCATTGCCGGCAATGGGGTGGGCGCGGCTTCCAGATGACACGTCCGGCCTGCAGGCCGGCAGTTTGACACCCCTGTCCTAGATGGTGATATTCTGTTACTACCAAATGGTTCAACTACAATATACGCAATCTGTTTCCTTTAAATAGTAAGTTTAATAACCAGACACTATATTATTCCTCTACCTCACCTTTCACCTAATTTCACTCTTTCAACATTTGCTCCAAGACTTTTCTCAAACCTGAAAATGTATGAAAATATAAGAGGTTTCACTGGGGTACTGGTGGAAAAGTACATATTGTAAACCCAATGGTTAAATTAAGTTATGGTGATACTATGGTGATAAAACAGGTATACATGGACATGTATCTATAATCCTTACCTGTGCCCTCATTCCTAGAATGCAGAAGCTCCATCAATGGTGCTGAGGCACCTTCTGCATCAATGGCATCAGCTGCCTCTTTATCCTGAGCCAACTCACACAGTACACCAGCTGCCACACGCTGGATGTTTTCCACTGGAGAATATAGGAGCTGTTCCCCCAAATAAACAGGAAGAATAAGTATAAGCAAGGGATTAGTTCCCTCTTGGTAAATTACCTATGCTCAAGTCCACAAAAATTGCCTTCAATAGCAGTACCTGTCTCCTTCAGGAGGTCAGTATTAATCATAATATACCGAAATTATTAAGAACTAATGCAGATTGAGAGGAGGGTAAGCAATACCTTGATAATTTTAACAAAGCTATTTTAAGGAATAAGCTTGCCAATCATGATTACATTTATTACATGGGTATTGCAATTTTTCTATATTTTATCATCACATATGACAAATGTTGGGTCATTATGCAAGGAATATTTACTCACTGCATTATCATGGGTATCAACCTAAACCAGTATATCTGAATTCTCATCAAATAAGAAATCAAAAATGGGTAATTTTTTTCATGAACACAATATATATAGACATTAAGCCTTGGTACCTTAAACATTCAGAAAAGCAAATAAATGAAATTTACTCTTTGGGAATTATCCATCTACTTAGGTATTATAATTCTGAGACTCACATGGAACCCATGGGCTTCCCAACTCTGTCACAAGCCTTGGTTTACAAAAAATAATGATTGAATTCTCATGTTCTGCTTAGCACTGTTTATTCCTATTCATTATTTTATTTTTGCAGAAATCAAACTCTCTGTTCCTACCCACATTTAACCTTGAATGCTCTTCCCTTACAACTTCCATCTAATCAGAAATTCTGACCTGCACAAAGAGAGGAATGGTGTTTAGACGGAAGATTTCCATTCTGTTCATAGGGTCTCGGGCTAAAATGTGTAGTGCACCTGTGCAGCCTTCCACAATTTCTTCCATCTTTACCCCATCCTGAAGAAATAAGGCAACCATTAAAGAATGGAAAAACAGTACTGCTCATTCCTAGGCTAGCATACTATACCCAAGAAGGCATCATTCCTTTTTATAATGATTTTAATAAAAGAATTAAATATTAAAATAGATAATAAAACTAACATAATTTAAGAAAAATATAAAACATAACAAGGGGAAAAAAAGAAAAATATGAAAAAAAATAGAAAATAAAAATATAAAGAAAAAGGAGGAGATATATAAAAAATAGCTTTCCCCTTCATCAAGACAAATATAAACAATTTCGGTAACTTGTCATCTTTTCTAACATTTCAACCAAAGATCTCCTCTTCAGACAGAGAAGGCATCAAGTTCAAATTATAGTTGGGTACCTAACCCTCCAGAAATCCTAAATAACTTCCAAAGCCAATTAAGATCATAAATAGAAGTTGCTTTTATCCAGCTGACATGATCGAGCTCTCTTACCGTGTATGGTTGCTGTGTGCCTGCAGCTGCATGACGCTGAGCATCTTGGTGAGCCTTCACCAGTAGCTGAACAAGGCGAGGGATGACAGCGGCTTCTTGTAGGGGGGCATGATTGGCCGGACATAAAGCGAGGTTACGGATGAGGCCAATTGTAGCCTGTGAGCAGAAAAGAGAAGGCATGTCTTCAAAACAGATTGAAAAGCTAGACAAGCTTTCAGATAGTTTAATCAGTTATGGTGTGTGATTTTTGTCATTTGGGTCTACCAAGGAAAGACAGTGTTCAATTCAATCCAGGATATTTTACACTAAATTAATCCTAAAATACAAAAACATCACTGTAAAATTCCATCTCTGACTAGCACACATAATTATCCTCCCCTACCTTCCATCCAGGCTTATTCACACGCTGGCTTTGTCTTTTCCTCCACAAAAGAGGCTTGATTCTCAAACTTCTATCAGCCTCTTGGATACTATTCTCATTAATAGTATCTCCTAAACACTTATGGGGGAAAATGCAATTATATGCTTAGAGTACTTTATATAAATTATGTAAGCAATTTTTATTGCATGCATGCCATCGTGGCTGGTATTATCATAAAACCATATTAAAGATAAATGTCTGGGTGAAAGCAAAAGGAAGTTTGCTGAAGGCTACCTAATCTACACCTCTGAACTGTGATCTGAAATTGTAAACTGCAAGCTATTGTAGCTTGCAGTTTAAAGACTTAGTCACCATATCTCACAATTATTCAATCTGGTAAGAAGTTTTAGTACTAGTAAGATTCTTTTCTCATAGAGAAGTCTATGAGGAAAAAAATGACCATAATTGTTGTCCCATGATCTGGAGTTTTATCAGAGGAGTTTCACTATGATCATCACTTCCCCAATAAACATTCTGATAGGTATAGATTCCAAAATTATGATATACTTTCCTGAACATAGTGATCATCTCTGAAATGTGCTCAAGTCAGAAATATGAGCCTGTTGTGGTAAAAAAAAAAAAAATAGAAATGCTTATGTCTGCCCATAAATATTTAGCTATTATCTCCCTATGGCTGTACCTTGATCAGTGGCCATTGGTTGGGCTGATTAAGCAGCTTAACAATGGCAGGAATTCCATAGTTAAGCCTCACAGAGTTCTGTGCCATTTCAGCCTCTGGATGTCGACTGGTGAGGTGCCTTAGAGCACACACAGCTGGTTCGGTGATGTCTTCTTTGTCTCCAGCTCGGAGAATAGTGTGTATGAGGGCTTCAACTCCATTCGATTGAGTCACCAGGGTTTTGTTCTTGCTATTGTTGCAAGTCAAATTGGAGAGGGTTCCAGTGGCACAGGTCAGCACATTAATATCATCTGAACTTAACTGGTTGACCAGAATCTTCAGGACCCCGTCAAGACCCTCCTTTAAAGACAATAAATAGCATATAGAATTACTACCTCAAACAGAAGCTAGGTCAACATAAAGAAGTCATCAGACAGACCCTCTAAGATAGTACCACTACAGAGTTATTGGAGCAAACAATCCTTAATTTTAGTTCAATAATTTTAACACAGTCAGGGAAGGCTCAATAGCAGTATTTGCCAGAACATATTTGGTGAATAAATCCTTTTACAACCCTTCCTTAATTATGTCTCCAAGAAAAGAGTTATTGAATAGAAATCTTAAGTAACTAGATAAAAAAGGCTAGTTGAGGCTGAAGAATTATTTTAAATAAAGGAGACTGTGGGAAAAAAGCACTGTTCACCTGCTTTGTGGCCACATCTGAAAGGTTTCTTAGAGTCCACAAACAGTTCTGAACAAGTCTTGGACTGGAGCTAGTCAGGTGCTTTCCTAGAGCTTGCATACCACCTTTTGGAAAAGAGGACAAAAAGTTAACTATAGCTGAACAAAAACAAAAGAAAGAAAATGGGAAAGATGGAATTTAAATGGTATGAAAAATGTCTTCAGAGTATTATAACCTCTTTATAATAACCTACATGTAAGTTGTGTTTTTAAGGGCAAGGCAAAGTATGACTAGTGATATGTTCTGTAATCAGCAAGACTTATATGACTAATCATTGGTCTGCTTCTATAATAGCTAAAGAAGTAGAAAAACATTTATATATTTTTAAGAAACAACATAATGTAACAAATTATCTTTTTATTGTAATGAAAGTTAATCCTTTTTAAAAATGTACACTTTATGCATTTTTTTCTATTTATTTATTCAATGCTCAGTTTTATTGTGTGGCAGATTAATATATTTAAATAAATACATAACTAATGTAATGTTGGGGAACATATACTTTACATATATTACTGAAAGAATATTTAGCACCTAATATTGATAAATTATTGTACATGATACCTTAAAGCAGCAGAATTTTAATTTCCCCCTACCTAGTTATTTGCTAGACCTGAACTCCCAGAATTGTCATAAAGAACTCTATTGCTTAGGCAATTGGCCTACAGAAAATTACATAATAAGCTAGTCATACATGTCCTCATCAGATTGCATTTCCAATTCTGTCTCAACTGTCACCACTCACCGGCTTCCACAATGGCTGGCTTGTTGCTGGGGCAGACAGACAGGACTTTGAGGACACGGCTGGTAGTCCACAGAAGTTTCTCATAGGTGTAACTTCGCATAATTTGAACAAGAGCTTGGGGACCTCCATTGGCTAAAATTATAAGCTGCAGACACAAACACAGAGAATAGAATTCTTTCATTTCTCTGGGCAAAGGCAAGATAATTGCAATTCATTGTCTTAATTATGTACTTTCCCTTACTCCTGTCTTCAGCTGATGTCTCCCAAAATAAAGCTCTTCCTTGGGAGAACAAGGAAACTGACTCCTCAGAAATATGTACACACATGTGCCTAAACTAACACATAAGCTGTGATGTGTCTCACAGGGGTGATTGCCTATACTGGGATGGTTGCCTGTATTCTATGAACAAGGGCAAATTTAAGTTACTAAACTGGATTTGTCCCCACCCCCCAGCCCCAGAAGTATTTTGTGGATAGAATATAAGTCCATACTTTGCTTTCTTGGTTTCCATAGGCAAGCAGCTGCAAACAGTCAGTGGTGATAGCCAAGAATTTAGGATTATTTTTTGTCAGCAAGGGGACCATCTTCTGAAGACCATCAGCAAGGCGAACAGCCATCTTGGCACCTTCCTGGTACAGCAGTAGGTTGTGAAGAGTAGTGATGGCATAAAACAAGACTGACTCCACTGGAGAGCTATGGGTGAAGAGGCGGGAGGATAACAAAGAAGATTTTTATTATTAAAGACAGATAACAAATGGTATGCATGTATGTGTTGCAGCCAAAATGAGTTAGAAATGAAGTTAGCTGACATCATAGAGTTTAAGATAAAATTATTTTCGTTGCTTATGCACCCTAATGCAAATTACCCCTGGTAAAGAGGCTAAAGAAAATGGCATTTTGTACAGATAAAACAACAAGGAGAAGACGGATAGAATATGTTCAGAAGAAATATGGAACCACAAAATTTCATTTATTTTATGAGTAATGGATTTGTTTATAAAATTATGATGTTAAAGTTTGAAGAGAGTTAAGGGTTAGTATGATTTTGGTTATTGTATAATTAGTAAACTTAAGTAGATTATGTTTAATATGTTTGTATAACCCCGTACTTGGCTCTGGGAAGCTGGGAGAGGAGGGGGGAGGGGGGAGGATGGGTTGGAGGTTAAATAGGTCAGATAAGTAGAAATAGTTGTTGTTGTTTTGTATATAATATTGATGTTTTAACTTGGAGAGAGGAATTGCTCGGGAATTTCCCCTGGACCGCATCCGTGAGAAGATAAGAGGAAGGGGAGAAGTAAGTAGAAAGGTTGAGGAGAAGGAGGAGAGGGGGAGAGTGAGGAAGAAGAGGGAAAGAGGGAAGTGAGAGAAGAGGTTAGAGGGTAGATGTGGTTTGGGGGGAAATGGGTGAGCAATTCCGAAAGTTGTCTGTATAAATTTACTTTATTCTTTATCTGAAGCATTCTTTATGAATGTAATGAAAAATTGAAAATAAAAAATCTTAAAAAAACAACAACAAAAAAGAATAGTCCTCAACTTAAAAGGCGGTCACTTAAAAGCATTCAAAGTTACAGAAGACTCAATACAACTTGCCTACCATCAAAGTTATGACTCAATACTATCCCTGATATGATCATATTTTGGGTATGTAGCAATTGGCTTGCATTTGTAACCTGTGCAGGGTTCTGTGATCTCATAATTGTGTTTTACAATCTTTTTTGCCATCTTTTAGCAAAATAACGACCCATTGAATAAACTGGATTTGGGCTTACAACATTATTTGCTTAATAACCATGTAGTTTATTCAACAACTGCAGTGAATCACTGTAAAACTGTAATAAAATTGAGTCTGGTCACATGGCGATTCAACTTACAACTGCAATGACTTATGATCAAAATTCCAGGCTCAGTTGTGTTTGTAAACTGAGGACTACCTCTAATTCTTTTAATCTAATAATTACTATATCAGAAAGCAAAATGGTATGCCCACAAAAAAAGCCCAGCCAATATGTTTAAGGATTACGGAAATTATTTTCTAAAATTAATTATTCTAATTTATACTGAAATTAGGGACCCGATAATGCTTTTTTTTTTTTTGCCATCAATGAAATCTGGGACTTAGTATGTTTGGAAATGTTGTTTCATTAAATTGTGAAAAAGTTGTCTCCAAACTGAATGAAAATGTTGTTTCATTAAATTGTGAAAAAGTTGTCTCCAAACTGAGTGTTCGTACTGTAGAAGAGTATGGAGCTAACTGTTCTTGAATTCCTTCATCAAGATTAAGAGAAAGAAAATGAAAATTTAGTAATGGAAAAGGAGAAGGCATGAGAAAGAACCCAAAGTAACTGCACTTTGAATCTGTTTGGTATAAGAAGGGACAGAAAGATTCTCTAGTAGGCTTTCAAGATTTTATTATTATATTCTAAACGAGTCAAGTTCTGAAAACTTTGCTGTTTCTCTTCCATAATAATACTTCTCCTAAATTTCCCACAGAAATTTTTCTTGAGTCTGAAGCAGCATAGGAAGCCACTAAGCAAGAGATGAAATGAATAAAATTTTTTGCAATCAGAACACTTCTAGATATTTAATTATGAATTCCCTCACCTCTAATATATTTTCATTCTATTTGTCAAGGTAAACTGAGGCTGAAATCAAGTGATAGGGTACTATGAAAGTGTTAATCCAATTATGAGTCAACCACTAAGAATTTATTTTTATTTTCTGGGGGTTCCAATATGGTGGTGTCAGAAATACTACTATGGAATTTGTAAGACCTTTTCTACTGCAAGGAAAAAGCAAGAGTGAGTATGACTCAGCCATAGCTTGCTAAGACTTGTGTTTCCACAACAAAGCCAACTCCTCCATGTGAAAGCAGCTGCTCATCAGCTCCATTTTGTGCCAACTGGGTGTGGACTTGCAGCAAGATCTGCCTGGCAAAGGAACAGGAGAGACAGAAGAATTGTGGGAACAGCTGGCAGAAATATTGCACAGATTAATTTCCTGTTGGACCTGCGCTGAATAGCTAGTGTCAGCATATCTTAACCAACTGCCCTTTGTGTATATTAAATATTAAATTTGGCCAGTACTCCTAAAGAGATGTTCTTCACACATAATAGCAGTAAAGCAAGTTCTGAAATAGTTACCACTAGGTACACTTCAAAGTGTTGTTTTTGAATTCCTGAACCCTATTTAGTTTGCCACTTGCAATATTCTCTATATTAGGTATAACATAACCATCCAACTTGTAAAAAATGCTAAGTATTCCCTAGCCCTGTGATAATGAGTATGAGATATAAAGGAGAGTTAGAAACTGTCTCTTTCATTTTGGTACCAACTCTCTGGAAGAGATTTCCTCCAGAAAGCTGTATGGTACCCATCTTCTGATATTCAGTTGACGATGTTAAAATCATGGTCACTGGGATGTCATATTATAAGCATAACAGCAAGAATAAGGATTTTAATGATTTGAATAATTCTACTATCATCTTTTATTTATTATATTGTTTACTCAGTGCATTTGTGCTGTTTTTAGCTGCAAACTATGGGTTCTCCATAAATATGGCACTATAGAAATGTAACAAATAAATGCTAAAGTGCCACAGTTGAAATTATGTTAATTATTTTCCTCCGTTTTTTGGTCTCAAAGTTCCAAGATGAAAAGGCTTTGAAAAACCCTACATTAAACACAAAATAAACATATCAGATGATAGTTCTCAATGAAAGCTAGGAGAAAGGGTTAAATAAAATAGTAATAGAAGCAGTTACAGTGTTTCAGGAAAATCAGACAAGTGAATATAGCAAATCAAAGCGCAGTTTTAAAAAATTGATTTTAAGGGATACATTTTAAATATTGTAATCAATGAAGAAGTAGTGTGTTACTTATTATTCATAGTGTTCTGAATAGACTTTAAGATAGACAGCAGCTCTTTGTAGTGTTGAAACAAAGAATAGTTGTAGACGACTGAACATAATGCATTTTTAAAATAGGGATATTTTCTTTGTTATTTATTTCAAAGCAGTAGACACATGCAAAGACAAGCTTGGGACAATGCAAAACAATCTTAAGACTTTGGTACATCATCATCTAAAAAAGATGGAAGGGACCTTGGAGGTCATCTAGTCCAACCCTCTGCTCAGGCAGGAAACCTTATACCATTTCAGACAAATGGCTATCCAGTCTCTTCTTAAAAACTTCCACTGTTGGAGCATTCACAACTTCTGGAGGCAGGTTGTTCCCCTGATTAATTGTTCTAGCTGTCAGAAAATTTCTCCTTAGTTGCTTCTCTTTTTGGTTAGTTTCCATCCATTGCTTCTTGTCCTGCCTTCAGGTGCTTTGAAGAATAGCTTGACTCCCTCTTCTTTGTGGCAGCCCCTGAGGTATTGGAACACTGCTATCATGTCACCCCTGATCCTTCTCTTCATTAAACTAGACATACCCAATCCCAGAAACCATTCTTTATATGTTTTAGCCTCCAGCCCCCTGATCATTTTGTTGTTCTTTTCTGTACACTTTTTAGAGTCTCAACATCTTTTTTACATGGTGGTGACCAAAACTGGATGCAGCATTCCAAGTGTGGCCTTACCAAGGCATTGTAAAATGGTATTAACACTTCATGTAATCTTGATTCTATCCCTCTGTTAATGCAGCCTAGCACTGTGTTGGCTTTTTAGGCAGCTACAGCACACTGCTGGCTCATATTTAAGTGATTATTCACTAGGACTCCAAGATCTCTCTCACAGTTGCTACTATTTAGCAAGGTACCACCTATACTATACCTGTATATTTGGTTTTTCTTACTTAGTCCAAATCTCTAGGAAGGAGGGATGGAGCTTACGAAAATGGCAAAGCTGACCAGTTTGATCACAAAAAAAAATAATCCCTTTTTTAAAAAAAAACGAAAGACTTTTGTGGGTTTTTACTGAAAGAAGCAAAGAATGATGACTTATTGATTTAGGCATTAAAAAGGATCAAAGAGGAAGAGGAAAAATACTGAATAGAAAGAAGCACAGAAATAATTCTACATTTTCTGTTTTCTTTTATTCTTTTCTGTATTTTTCCTTTAATCTTCCATTAACTCTGTATGATTTTACTGTATTGAAAAATTCTAATAAACAGAGCTCAGAAAGATAAACCTAAAAGAGAAAGTCAAATTACACCAAGCCGCATATGAACTAGAATAAAATGGATAGGAGGAGTGCTTAGACAAAGCTATTGCAATACTTCCAGTGACAAAACAGTTCTTAAAAACCTTGTATCTTCTTTTCATGGCGCAACCTCCGGGACATTACCTAAGCATGCGCACGAGAGCTGGGATACCCCCAGATTTAAAGATGGACAGCAACCCTTCACGATGGTGAGACAGGTTGTGGAGAATGCTGGTAGTGCAGCGGGCTGTTTCCAGGTCACTGGTGTTTTGCATGGTGCGCACCACAGCAGCAACAATTTGAGCAGACTGCATAAGAGCCCGGCGTGAGGCTTCTTTCTTAGACAGCTGGTTCACAATCATGGCTGCTTTGCTGACTACCACCTGGAGGCAGAAGAATGGAAGTTGTAGAATGGAACAATTATTACAGCACTCTTCAGAGCACCAAGTTCTCCTGAACTCCAGATTCCACGTTTCAGTGCTATTTATATTAATTTACTACTTCAGAGCCAAGGAATTCTACTTGGTGTACAAGATGGTTAGTATTATTATCATAATAAAACAGTAACACATTTTTGATATCAATGATTCCACACTCTCTCTGAAACTTTCACAAAGAGCTGAGATTTTACTAGCCTTTGGAAGGTCACGAAAGTCACCTTTATCTTGGGGAGGAGGGAGATGTGCCAGAAAAAGAAAGCCTCTACAGGGATGGCAGCTGTCAAGCTCTTTCCCATCACATCTAACTTCAGAAGGCATTCCCTTTTGCAGCATGCAGAATCTCTCCAGAAAAGGTGTTCTGTTAGACACCCATGCCAGGAGCCATGTAGGATTTAATAGGGAAAGATCATCATTTTGAACTTGCGAATTCAAATGTACTATAACAAACTAATGCAGAAGCACTTTTGGGAGTATTCTGCATTAAAAAGCCCATGCTATTGTAGCAGCCAAATTCTGAGTCCTGAATGAAATGATAATTAATGTTCATGTATCAAGTCTCCTATTCTGAATAGTGGAACAGTTTTTGTGAGCTGGATAACATTTTTTGAGTCCTATGGAAGAAATTACAAGTTTCAAAAATATTCAAAATGACAATCTTACTCATTAGAAGCAAAAACTGTTTAAGCTCCTCCAAACCATACCTCTAAAAAATAACAACCAGAGCTTTCATTTGAGTGTACATGATAAATACGAAGATCAAAGTTGTTCTGGGCTGATAACAATGCATTCTGCAGCTTCTTTGCATTTTCAAGGAAAGTATCATTTAATGTATATTATAAGATTACTGAAACATTAGCAATGCTTAAAATCATAGCAAATCAAGCAATTAGCTCTATTAAGTCCCCCAGAAACCTTTTGAGATACCAAGGATCTAACTGCACTGCCATACCGGATCTTCATCATTCAGCAGTTTGGTGAGTTCAGGGATAGCACGAGTGGCTAGTTCAGCATCATCTTGGTAGTTGATGAGGTGCACAATGGCTGACTTGAGCATTTGAGAGGGCTCAGCCAATCGCTGTACATTTGTCTGCTGTCCCTCAACTTGGGTAGTCAGTAGAAGAGTGTGGTCTTCAGCTGTCTCTGGATACATGGCTGCCCGAATACGCTGGGCACGGGTCATTGCAAGCTGGGACTCCAATTCCGCTGCAAGAATGATTGACAAGATAGGATTGAAGATAAAGCTCTAATCAGAATTTTTGACAGTCATATTAGGAAGTTCCTGGAGCTGCTTCAATTCTATGAGGTATAGGTAACTTCACATCTGAGCAAAGAGATAAGGCTGGTGTTAATTAACCAGCATGATTAGGCAGCTGTAATACAAAGCTGCTTAATTAAAAACATGAAAGTGAGATGGGAAATGGGAACCAGAATGCATAAGGACCTGAAAAAAATTATGTGTGCAGGCATGCACACATAAAGACACTTACATACAAAGAAAGGGAAGGAGGGAGGGAGTGACTAGGGTGAAAAATCTTGTTTTTGCAGCAACCTAAATTTCTTTGCAGTTCTGAGAGACATTATAAAGAAGATGGTACCTGCGCTTGCCTATTCTTGGTGCGTGGATTTTTTTTTACTGTTTCTCATTAAATGTTTTCTCTGCTATATTCCCTAGCCTTTCAATATATAATATGAAATGTTTGTAAATTTTACTCATCTCTGTGCTATCTGCGGTCCTTGGCATTAGAGATTCCTTACAGTGAACCATTTTAATGATAACTCAGCTTTCGTCTATCTTCCAAAATATGGTTGCACATGACCATATCATTTTATTCAATCACAAAAACATAATCCTTTTTTTTTTCAACAGGCAAGATATTCTGCTTACACCTGAAGGTATTGATTCCCACGAAAGCAAGAAGCAGTAGTAAAAAAAAATCCTAAATTTCTCTGGATTACTTCTGTAATGCTTAGAAGACTTTTATGTTTCTATACTTTATTTTGAAATAATCTGTTTGTGTGGGCTTTTTTCACTTTACAGAGAGTGAGCTAAGTCTTAGGAAAAGTGTCATGACCACATTTGAACTTAAGTCCAGAATAGATCTCCCAGTTCATAAAATAGAGGATCATTTCTAAAAGTTGGCTGACATTGATAAATGACAAAAAGAGACAGATTCTAAGCTAATAGCTGTATTGTAACCACTCACATCAGTGGCTTCTAGCATATATGATGTGGTTCTAAGTCAGGAGTGTCAAACTGCCGGCCTGTGGGCCAGATGCATCATGGCGAAACTGCGCCCACTCCATTGCTAGCAATGGAAAAAAAGCCGCGATACGTCGCAAAATGTCACGTGACGTCACGAGTTTAACACTCCTGTTCTAAATCTTTTCCTTAAAATTAAAAACTGACCAAAGCAAACTGTTAACTTCAAAGGATGTGCTGGTAATTTCAAAGACACTGGTTTAACAAGCTCTACACAGCCAGGATTCAGGAATTATTAGGACAATTATCTTTACTCATCTGTCTAAAAATTACTATTACTTTATAGCCAACAGTTCAATAATGGGTCATAACAATTTAACATTGTAGTCAGAGTCTATGTTAAAAAAAAAGTAGTAGATATAAGCCTGTAAAACAAAAATAAGCAAAAGGTAGGCCTGCGTACCAGATCGCTTTCAGTCTATAATATTTGTTTTAATGCAGATTAAGTACTGTTTCTTACATTCACACTTGAATATAATGTAAAATTGTTATCTCACATAACTTTAAGTTAACAGAATTAAATATGAACTAAACTAAATGACACAGAATTTGCGGGTAGCAATATTACTATGGCCTACTGTGATTTGATCAAAGACTACATTACTTTAAGATGGATATTTTCCCAGACTAATAATTTTGCGATAGAGGAGTGCATGATCTAGGAAGCTGGGAATTCTGGACTTTCTATTTCCATTGCATTAGAACAGGGCTTTTCAACCGGTGGTACACGTACCGCTTGTGGTACATTAACAAGTGGCAGGTGGTACACAGCCATATACAGCACAGGCAAGGACTTAGAGAGAGACCTCTGGAACTGCAGAGTGGCTGGGGCAAGGCAAAGGCCCCAGGCTCACTTCTGGCTCACCCTCCCCCATGAGAAAGGAGGAGGAGGGGGTAGAGACAAGAGAGGCTATAAAAGGAGGCAGTTTGGGCAGGAGAGAGGAAAAAAAGCAGCCTTGGGAAGGAGGTGGAGTCAGCTCTAGCTGCATCGAAGGGGAAGGAGGAGGGTGGGGGGGGAGGAGAGATTAAGCAGGCCAAGCAGGCCGGCCATGAGCCGATCTACAACTTCTGTGGCAGCTACCTGTGCTGGCAGCAACAAACAGGCAAGAAATGGAGCAGGGGAGGGGTCACCCTCCAAGAGGGATGAAAAAAGGCAGCAATGGCTGGAGATGAGGCAAGGGGGAGGATTCTTTTGTGCTTTTGTGACTTTGAAATTCTGGGATTTGTGCAATGAGGGCTTTGTGTTCTTAAGGAGTGTTTGGCAATTTCTATTTGGCTGATGTCTCCTGCTAGCTTCTATTGCTCTGCTATTGTTAGCTGTAAGTTTTACTGCAAGGGATTTTGAAGTATTTTTGTTCTGAATGGATTTTGCTGGTAGCATTCCTTTACTTATGAATGGAGCCATTTGGGGAGGCTGCCTTAGCCGGCAGCCAATACTTACTACATTCTTTTTCTTAAGTGCTGGCAGCGCTCAGTAACTTTCCTTTCTAGCCAGTAGCTAATTTTTAAAGGAGAATGTGCCTTTTTAAGCTAGTTCACTTAGCAGCTTGTCTTTTCTGTCTCTGGAGGCTTTTCCTTGTATGATGAATATATGGAAGAGAGAAAATATGGGGGGTCAAATTCTTCCTTCAGAAGGAGGTGGGCATGAGAAAGAGAGAGGCAGGGAAGGAAGGAGGGAGGGAAGTCCCACCTTAGCATTTGGCCACCAGCAGTCCTGCCATTGACTTTGCTTGTCAAAAGGTTGCAAAAGGGGATCACATGACCCTGGGATACTGACCATCATAAATATGAATCAGTTGCCAAACATCCAAATACAAATCACATGACCCTGGGCATACTGCAATGGTCATAAGTGTAAAAAATGGTCATAAGTCATTTCAGTGCAATTGCAACTTAACAGGTTTTTTTTTTGGTCATCAAGTTTTTCACACCTTGCTAGATGTTACTCGAATATTGCCATATGCTAAAAATGGTACAGTCGGTGAAAAGGTTGAAAAGCCCTGCATTAGAAAATACAAGGTCAAGCATAGACATTGTTTTTAGTTTCTTTATGGAATAACGGCAAATTGTGTGCTTAATCAAATAAAAGCAAATATTACCTTGAGTCTGGGCCTGCCCTGAACCAGGTTGGCTGTAAGTAGTAGTTTTCTTAATGGTGTACTGCTTGCCATAGAGGTCATCTTCATCCATCAAGCCCTTGCTGCTCACTGATGGCACCTGGGTGTTCATTCCAGAATGGATTCCCGAGTCATAGGTGTATGTTTGCTGCCATTCTGTCACCTTGATAGGTTGATCTATTATGTTCATCACCTCCATGGCTATTCTGAAAAAACACCCATTGGATTAGACTCTCAAACATAATGCATGCCATTAAGAGTTAATCTTCCCCAATGTCCAATTCTCAATAAATTTGCATTTGCTCTAGGAAACTTTTCAAAATGCAGTTTGCTAATAAAGTCTGCTGCTTCCTACCATTTGCTTCTAATAGTTTGGACATCAAATTCCCTACATCAAAACTAAAGCTGTTCAGCTTATATGTTTTTCTTGTCTCACACACAGGGACTCTCACCAAGCTATAAGTTAATAGTCTTTATAAAGCACAAAGGCTGCTATTGCTCTACAGTTAAGACTGTTTCCTGATTTAGTCCAATGAAATGATTGTGGTACAACAGTTTCAGCTCCCAAAAGGTCCGAAAAATGTATGATCCTCACTCACACTGTTATCATCCTCATAATACACAGTGCCCCCAATAAACCAATAATGCTCCCTTCAGCTGACTAATAATTGAATGTAACATTCAGTATCCAATTTGCACCCAGCAAGAGAAAAAAAAACAACTTGGTCGCTTACTTAAAAGCATAATGGAATCAAAGCAAGACATTGTCCCACTTTGCATTCAGCACATTAAAACTGGATGTTAAGCTAAACCACACCAGAACTGCAACAGTGTGAGAACATGGTCATGAAACAACAGATGTTCTTCCTTCCCTGCTCCTCTTCCTTTTGCTACTTTTCCACTTATAGCCACACTTTGAGAGAACAGTCAGTGGCCCCAGCAGCAGAAGTTCACCACTGCACCTAATCCAAGCACGTATCTTTCCAAGGGTTGTGATTAGCTATGGCTGCTCATTGGAGATGCAGTAGTATTCTCTCACAAGTACAGATATGGGGAAGGGATAGCAAAGGTGAGAGGAACAGGGGAGGCAAAGGATTTGTGCTTCATTGGAGGTGGGATGTGGAGAAGACAGGCAGGTTGGGGAAGAATGAGGGAATGGTTGTCACTGATTTGTCTCAAGTTCTTCCTCCATGCATCATAGAACATTTACGGAGAGAGAAGGGCTTCTACCTTTGGAATGAATTATCTTTCTGCCAAACTGCTTCAGCAGCATGCTGGCCCTGATATAAAGACTCCAATACGAAGATATATCCTCAGTGATTGTTAGCAAGCTTCCTTATTACACAGTGGTTGAGTTCAGAGCCTTGGTCCGTCTTCTATTTTAAATCCCAGGATTTAAATGATATACTGTATACTCAAACATATTTTTCTCTTGTCAAATTTATTTCATATGTATATGGAAAACAGGTGTTTTTTTTCTTTTCTCTGTCAGGGGAGCAAGATAAATATATCTGCTTGTTTAGAACAGCTATTTTACAAAACAGGAAGAGAACAGCTACCAATACTGGAAAATAATCTTTAGTATCATTAAGGTAAAAAACAGTGGCAGCTAAGGAAGGAATTGCTAGTATTTAAAAGACAGGACAACAAATAATTTTTTTTAAAGGCTTAATTTTTCTAAGGCATTCTCAAGAAACCTAAAAGAAATGCTACCAGTTGTAGTCCCCAGCATGAAATGTGCTTTTAGTATTTTATTTGCTTTGGAAAGTGAATGAAGAGATAGAAGAAAGAAAGAGTGCCTACTGAGATGGCATCAATGGTTCCTAAATAAAGGGTAGAAATGGAAATCTAGCATAAGAGTTGCTTGGTAGCAGCCTTCTGTCCCAGATAAATTTGCTAGCTTGTTTTCCGATGGGTAGAGACTAATAACAGGCACCAATTAAGTGCTGCTCCTTCCCTAAAAACATGTTGCCCTTGTACTCTAAGCAATCCATTGCCTTCTATTAAATCTGCAGAGTATAACTTGGGAAGAAGAAAGTACGTCTGATACCATCAAGATAATCAACTTACAGGGTGTGTATGTGCACAGAAGGTAGGGAAAGCTTAACGGCAGCAGTTTCAACAGCTGCCATTAACTATATATGTTTGAAAAACAGTTTTTTCCAACTAGAATAAGTTGTTGAAAATGCTACTGTAGTCAAATTAGAGATTTATTCCTTCACCTCATCCCATCTGGGGACCTCACGGAATCCTTACTCATAAAACCTTGACCAGCTGTCTGCAGTCAAGCAGCTAAATAATGTGTAGCACTAAATAGCAGCTGACTAAACTAACATGTTGAAAAGCTATGCTTTATTCTATAAGCTATTTGATTATCTTTTTTGCAGTTGTTTCTACAGAACAACCTTCCCCCAACTTGACTTTCTCTAGATATTTTGTAGGTACTACTCCCAGATTTCTCAAAATTTACAGGTTTATGTGGTACAAATATTTATTTTTTATTTTTTAAAGCATTAGTAGCAAAGAGAGGAATATAGTTATTGGCACATCAGAATTCATTTTATTTTGGAATATTATAACAGGGGAAGAGAACTTAATTTACCACGTCTTCTCATAGAATAGAAGTAACCATATATCATCAATCCCAGTTTTTCCTGTCTAGTTTTTTTTTCTGACATTGAAACCAAATCAATTTTCATCACAACATTTGTGTGGCTGTCTTCCTTCAAGGCATTTAGTGCAATATATCCAGGCTTATCCTAGTTTATAATCACCACAACCTTGTGATTTTGACAAGGTAGCTTAAGTCATAGGTCAGGTATGCTTTAATTTAATTTTGTATGACTGCTTAAAGTCATACAAAATCTTCAAAACAACACTTTAAGATGGATAAAAGTCAGCTTATACAATTAGCAGAACACAGTGGAAAAGTTTTGATGGAAGTACATCTGGTTCTTATATTTTAGTTCTTACGTGAAGTTAAAAATAGTTTTCTTAAATATGATTTGTTATCAATAAATCACAAAAATGAGTTATTAGCATTTGTTAAGGTTAGCACAAAGTTAAAAGCCAAATCACAGAGAATAGAATAATCCTATTCAAATGAAGAAGAAAAGTCAGTTATGACTAGTTCTCATTCAGCATTACTAAGTTTGGAGGAGAATTCTAGGCAAATTATGAATATTATACATATTTAAATATTCTTCTACAAAAACTACTTTAACTTTTGAAAATTAGCATGCTTGCCCATATATTTTTATATTCAATGTTTTATATACTATTTGTTTTCTATATAGTATAATATAGAAAAATAACCGAAAAATGTATAATTTAAAAAGAAATCCTGAGTATATAAAGTGACTTAAATAAAAGTATATTATTAATTTATGGTATTGGAAGTTCCTGAGCCAAATGTATCATTACCCTGAAAAATCCTTATCGCCTTCTGCTTTATCCCCAAACACCTTGGATATTTCTAGTTTTGCAATGGTGTTATGAGCGTAAAAATCATAAACTACAACTTTTTTCTGTCTCATCTATCCAGATGCTACCTTTTCAACTTAGGTTGCAAACATAACTCATTGACTGAGAACTGTAATTTCTATAAACTAGATGGTATCACATTCAGAAAGATTGTACCTAGCTTCATAGTGTTGGCCTGTCCAGACAGTAGTGACTGAGAGATACACCCAGTCAAATACTAAGCAGATTACACTGGGAACACTGTAGGGCTGGTGTTAAAGCAAAGTGGTTCTCTAATGTCAGGAGAAGGGGAACTGGGCCAAGCACTAACAAAGGATGCATCAACTATGTTTGTGATTAGGAAGAGAATCCCTCAAGCAAAATAACTGCCACACCCAAGGCAGGAATGGCAGTTAAGTTGCTTCTCATTTCTATTTCCAAGGGAAGACAGTAAGACAGGTTCTTCTGCCAGATGGAAATGAATTGAAACTTGTGAAGGAAGATATATTCCTCCAGAAAATGGCTTCTTAGCTTGGCATTCCAACTGCTAGTATATCAGGCAAACCAATCCAAAGTAATTATCAATGTATTTGCTTTATATAAATAACTGGCCAGCATAGATTTAAATATTTGCTTGAACCAGATGGTCTCTTGCCATGTATTTCTGGACTGCTTCAAGAAATACTGCTGAACTTTTTAAATGAGTTTATAGCTATCACACTTTCCTCCTAATTCTACACATAAACAGTCTGAGAAATTGTACTTTGAAATATTCTATCAAATGTGGATGGAAGACGTAAGATTTCTAAATCCATTTAGAAGATAGGAGAAAATTAGGTTACCAATCTCCTCCAACAAAAAATATCTGGTAAGCTGAGTAAGAGAACATGGAAAAAAGAGAGAAAGGTAAGCATAAAGAAGTGCTGCTTTCTGAATGTCTGAGTGTTTAGAATATTTCAATCAATCCTAAAGTAGACTCTGATTTCCAGATGACAACGGCCACTGTGCTCAAAGTGGATACATATTACATCCTGAAAATCTAGAACAGCAAAATCTATAATGATTGTATTGTTGATTTGTTGATATTGTCAACTAGTTGGGTATCAGCACTTGGTTACTTTTGGGTGATCTCAAAAAGGTAAGCAAGGTCATACTTTAATACTGGAATGTGAAACCATCAAGGTTTGACTGGGAAAATGAAAATCATCCTGGAAGAAGGCAGTGATAACCCCAGTTCTGTACTACCACCCGCATATGTAAGAAGATGGACAGGAATGTGTCTATAAAATCACTAGGAATTGAATTTAGTTTATTTTTACATTAGAAACTAGTTTGAAAGTCCAGTGCCCCAACGTTTCCGTTCCCACTCAAAAACGGGAGGGACAAACCCTGTCTTTTTCTAAGAGATGAAATGATACTCATTAAAAGAGGGGGAGGGAAAACAATCTTTTTAATTCTCTTTCTTTTAGGGCTCCAAAGGACCATTCTGTGGCAGAGCTGTTGCTTCCAGAATGAATGTCCCAAAATATATTGTGAGTTGGAAGCATACATGAATTGCTGCACAGTGGCAGGGCAGGAAATTCATTTAATTCTTTTTCAATCAATTGTGCTGACACATTTAAAATCACTACATACACATAGGTCTTTCCTGTACTGTTAAGCATGATGGTTGCAGTAGTTAGCATAACACAAAAGTAACAAGAAAATTGAGCCAAATGCTGTTAATTAAGTCAGCCAAGCTCTC